TTTGGCATGGCCTTTCTTTGGGATTGGAATGAAAACTGAACTTTTCCAGTCCTGTGGCCACTGCTGAGTTTTCCAAATTTGTTGGCATATTGAGTGCAGCACTTTCACAACATCATCTTTAAGGATTTGAAGTAGCTCAGTTGAAATTCCATCAGCTCCACTAGCTTTGTTGGTAGCGATGCTTCCCAAGGCCCACTTGACTTTGCATTCCAGTATGTCTGGCTCTAGGAGAGTGATCACACTATTGTGGTTATCTAGGTCATGATGATCTTTTTTTGTAGTCCTTCTGTATATTCTTGCCACGTCTTCTTAGTATCTTCTGCTTCTGTTAGGTCCATACCATGTCTGCCCTTTATTGTGCCCATCTTTGCATGAAATATTCCCTTCATATCTCTAATTTTCTCACAGATATCTCTAGTCTTTTACATTCTATTGCTTTCCTCTATTTCTTTGCATTGATCACTGAGGAAGGCTTTCTTATATCTCTGTGCTAATTCTTTGGAACTCTGTATTCAAATGGGTATAGCTTTTCTTTTCTCCTTTCCCTTTATTTTTTCTTAGATTCTCAGCTATTTGAAAGGCCTCCTCAGACAACCATTTTACCTTTTTGCATTTCTTTTTCTTGGTGATGGTCTTGATCACTGCCTCCTGAACAATGTCATGAACCTCCATCCATAGTTCTTCAGGCACTTTGTCTATCAGATCTAATCCCTTGAATCTATTTGTCACTTCCACTGTATAATTGTAAGGGATTTCATTTAGGTCAAACCTGAATGGCCTGGTGGTTTTCCCTATTTTCTTCAATTTAAATATAAATTTTGCAGTAAGGAGTTCATGATCTGAGCCACAGTCAGCTCTTGGTCTTCTTTTTGCTGACTCTATAGAGCTTCTCCATCTTTGGCTGCAAACAATATAATCAATCTGATTTCGGTGTTGACCAACTGGTGATGTCCATGTGTAGAGTCTTCTCTTGTGTTGTTGGAAGAGGGTGTATGCTATGACCAGTGCATTCTCTTGGCAATACTCTGTTAGGCTTTGCCCTGCTTCATTTTCTACTCCCAGGCCAAATTTTGCCTTTCACTCCAGGTATCTTTTGATTTCCTACTTTATCATTCTAGCCCCTACGATGTAAAAGACATCTTTTTTTTTTTTTTTTTTTTTTTTTTTGGTTAGTTCTAAAAGGTCTTGGAGGTCTTCATAGAACCATTTAACTTCAGCTTCTTCAGCATTACTGGTTGGGGCATAGACTTGGATTAATGTGATATTGAATGGTTTGCCTTGGAAACGTGCAGAGCTCTTTCTGTCATTTTTGAGATTGCATCCAAGTACTGCATTTCAGACTCTTTTGTTGATTATGAGGCACCCAAGTACTGCATTTCAGACTCTTCTGTTGATTATGAGGGCAATGCCATTTCTTCTTAGGGATTCTTGCCCATAGTAGTAGATATAGTGGTCATCTGAATTAAATCCACCAAATCAAGTCCATTTTAGTTCACTGATTCCTATAATGTCAATGATCACGCTTGCCATCACCTGTTTGACCACTTCCAAATTGCCATTATTCATGAACCTAAGATTCCAAGTTCCTATGCAGTATTGTTCTTCACAGCATCAGATTTTCCTTCCATCATCAGTTACATTTTGCTTTGGCTCTGTCTCTTTTTTCTTTCTGGAGCTATTTTTCCACTCTTCTCCAGTAGCATATTGGGCACCTACTGACCGGGGGAGTTCATTGTGCAGTGTCATATCTTTTTTGCCTTTTCATACTGTTTGGTTCTGAATTGGGAACGGAGTGTGTCAATGCTGTATATTGTCATCCTGCTTATTTAAATTATGTACAGAGTACATCATGTGAAATTCCAGGCTGGATGAAGCACAAGCTACAATCAAGAGAGTCAGTAGAAATATCAACAACCTCAGATATGCAGATGACACACCCTTATGGCAGAAAGCGAAGAAGAACTGAAATGCCTCTTGTTAAAAGTGAAAGAAGCAAGTGAAAAAGTTGGCTTAAAAATCAGCATTCCAAAAACTAAGATCACTGCATCCGGTCCCATCGCTTCATGGCAAATAGATGGGGAAACAATGGAAACAATGACAGACTTTATTCTGGGGGGGGGGGGGGGCTCCAAAATCACTACAGATGGTGACTGCAGCCATGAAATCAAAAGACTTTTGCTCCTTGGAAGAAAAGCTATGAGCAACCTTGACAGCATATTTAAAAGCAGAAATATTACTTTGCTGACAAAGGTCCATCTAGTCAAAGCTATGGTTTTTCCATTAGTCATGTATAGACGTGAAAGTTGGACTATAAAGAAAGGTGAGTGCTGAAGAATTGATGCTTTTCAACTGTGTTGTTGGAGAAGATGCTTGAGAGTCCCTCAGACTATAAGGAGATCAAATCAGTCAAACCGAAAGGATATCAGTCCTGACTGTTCAATGGAATGACTGAAACTGAAGCTGAAGCTGAAACTCCAATATCTGACCACGTGATGCGAAGAACTGACTCATTGGAAAAGACCCTGATGCTGGGAAAGATCAAAGGTACAAGGGGATAGGCAACAGAGTATGAAATGGTTAGATGGCATCACTGACTCATTGGACATGAGTTTCAGTAAGCTTCAGGACTTGGTGATGTTCAGGGAAGCCTTGGGTGTGACAAGTCCTTGGGGTCACAAAGAGTGGGACACGACTGAGCAACTGAACTGAACTGAACTGAAGTCAGCCAAGTGCAAAATCCCTGGCCATCTCTGTGTGGTTCCTGGAAGGAAAGCCCAGGGAAAGGAAGCATGCCAAAGTGATGGGCACTATGAACCTGTCCAACATGATGGGAGATCACAGAACACAGGGACATATCACTCAGCTCTCCCTGGGGAGAACGTCCAAACCCGCCCACCTCTTTACAGGTAGGTTCCCCTCACAAGCAAATCCAAGGACTGTATAACCTTCCAGGGTAAGTCATAGAGGTCGAAGAGGACATTGACTTGATTGAAGAGCAAATGAATGAAAGTGACCAGGACAAAAAAAGAGGGATGGTTACAAATTTCATTATTCTGGATAAGTAGACCTATAGTTCTGTATTTGTGCAAGTCTCCTTTAAGGTGGTGTGTGTGTATGTGTGTGTGTGTGTGCTATCAGAACTGGCTGGGCTGGGAGATGGAAGAATGGACACCAAAAATGTGAAAAAAAACTTGTGTAAAGTTCTTAGACCGTGGGACAGCAGAAGCATGGAAGCCAGGGAAACGAGCTGAAGGATCTCACCGAGCAAGCAAGCTGTAAGTGGAATCAAGCTGCTGCACCCTGGATCCCTGCCAGAAAGGAAAGGCTGGAAGAAAGCAACTGGGGATTGTCAGTGAGGATGCAGACTATGAAAAACAGAACGAGGTGGATTCCCAGGCACAGAAGAGGTGGGGCCTACAGCCCTTGGATGCCCAGCTACAAAGACCTTTCTGTCCTTCTCAAGTGCAGGAACATTCCCCAGCATGACCAGGCACATGAGCGCACCTTGCCTTTTTTGTAAGCTTTGGGAGACAGACAGGCACTGTACCATAAGCAGCTGCTAACTGCAGGGTTTGCCAGTTTGAAATGTCATTCTTTGTGTTCTTTGCAGAACCCTTGGGTATCAGGACTATGCAAAGGATGGATTAGGTTGATTCTCTCACTGTTCCTAGCCCCACGGGGCTGGGGAGACAGGATAGGCTGAGAAGTGTTCTCATCTGGAGGCTAGATGAGAACAGAACAACTTGGAAAGGGCCTCTATATGGTAAATGGGCAGACTTCAGTTTGTCTAATACTGAAGAATCATGGCCCTTAATGCAGTGCTGCCCTTAATATCTCACTGACTGGCATTGCAACAGGGTTCTGGGAGTTCCTTCATGCCAGCAAGAGCATGCTCTGTGTCTCCTCCTCTCCAAAGTGTGGCCAAGTTGCCTTAGCAGTGTTCATGTGCAGTGTTCATGTCTATCATGCAAGGGAGGAAAGGACACCTGTCCCCTGCTGTGGTTCAGCAGACATTGCCTGTGTTCACCTCTCAAGTTTGAGAAAGCATTCTTCAACTGTGTGGACTGACAAAGTCACCTCTCCCTGGAGTGTGGACTGACAAAGTCACCTCTCCCTGGATGCAACTCACACAGGAGGAGAGGGCTCTGGCTTCATGCCAAGGTTAAGGGTCTTTTCCAAGCTCTGTTGTCCAGAGATTGACAGAGGGCAACAACACCAGTTAGAGAGACAAAGTCAAACAGACAAAAGCCCCTACTACACACAGAAAGACGGGCTGGAAAACAGAAGCAGAGACAGACATGGAGAGAGCTCTGTGCCCTGTGGCTCTGGTTCCCCGAGCAGTGGAGCTCAAATGTAGCAAACAGGTGTTTTTGTACCCGATCCACTATCATCCAGACAGCATCTGACTCTCTGTCCAGTGGAGGGCAACTATCCAGCCACATTGACCCCCTGCCTTTCATTGGACACATTGGGAGAGCTCTCAGTGGTTAAAGGTCCTGTGGGACACGGGAATGTGCTTTTTGGATATGGGAGCAGGGAATTCATGGTTTGGATTTCTGGAGGCCAAGTCAATGGCAGTTGGCACCCAGGAGGTGCCACATACAAGGCAGGGAAAGTATGTGGACAGGCAGGTTCACTGGAGCAAAGGCAGCCACGTGTGGGTGCTGGAGCCCAGGACCCCCTGGAGCAATTCCCTCTGGGCTAGGGGCATGTCCCTGGAGTGTGTGTCCCACTATGTTCTCTCTGATTGGTCAAGATTTTTGCCCAGCAACGTGGGCAAGACTCACAGCTCCAGCAGTCTAGGGGGTCCGAGTGCCTGTGTGATTCAGGCTGGAATGTGCACCATGCCCCAGGCCATTCCCCACCGTTTTCTTCAGTCTCAGAACACCCCCAGAAGAATCAAGCCATCTCCAGAGGGTGAATGCAGCCTGTGGGCAGGCTGGGCATGCCACCTGCTGTGCTGTCACGTCCAGCCCCTTAACTGCTGCCCCAGCTCGGGGTCAAGGCCAGGGCCACGTGGAGAGTGAGACACAGCCAGAAGAAGGCCGGAGCCATGGAGGACTGTGGACCTTTGTAGTTGTGATCCTGGGGTCAGGGTCAGGGCCCCTGCGACCTGCCGGCACCGTGTGGTCATCAGGGATGTTGCAGGCACCAGGGGGCGTACCAGGCGAGGAGGTCACTTTATTCAGGGTGGAGGCAGTGTGGAAGTCACAGACCTGGAGGGGGCAGAATTGGCGGGGATCGTGCTGCTGCTGGTTCCAGCTGCTGGTGGAAGACATTATGTAGGAGATGGAGGTGGTGGCTGACAAGGAGAAGGAGCAGGTGTCCTTGTAGGTGTGTGAGGAGAAGCCAAAGGAGTAGAGCCAGGAACATTCAAGGCCAGGGGCCCCGAGTGAATGGCCTGCGCTGGAGGGACTAGAGGTGCTGGCAGCCCTGCAGGTGGAGATGAGCTCTGGGAATGAGAAAGACCACAGGACCTGCACTCCTATCAGGTGGCAGAACTGACAGAGGAAGAAGGCTCACTTGGCTGGAAAAAGTGCCATCATCAAGGGCATCCCTGGCTTTTGGGCCAAAGCCATATCCTGACCTCCACTCCATGGGTTCGGCTTCTCAGGAGGAAGACATGGAGGGGGGGCAGGAGGAAGGTTGGGGAAGAGGGCACAGGCAAGGTGTGGGGGCTGAGGGAAGAGGGGCTGGCGGAGTGGCGGTCTCCAAAGGCACCTCAAGAGGAGAGCCTGGGCATGCCCACCACAGCTGTGGGTGTCAGAGGCATGACTCTTGGTGTCTCCTTTACCCCTGCATCTGAAGAGCAGATGCACAGGAGTCTCTGGCAGGGACGCTGTGTCAGGAGTTACCAGTGACAGTAGGCCAGAGGAACATTCCCAGAGAGCTTTCATCGCAACTGTGGATAATCCTGGAAAGTAGTAGAGACAGCAGAAGCCTCACAACCCATCCCAGTCAGTCAGAGCCCCTGAAGGTTCCCCCACGAGTGCAGTGCAGAAGGGCGAGGGTGTCCACCCTTGTGGAGCTGGAAGGGACTGCTGTCCTTGTATGCTACGAGTGAAAGACGACTGTAGACATATCCTTGCCACCCCTTTTGAAGACAGGTAGCAGGTGAGAGACCCAGGGTTTTCTTGCTAAACACACACACACAGACACACAAGTATACCCACACACAACATACACACTTGCCCGCAGACACGACGTGCTACAGAGACTGCCATTCTGACATTCTAAACAGCGACATGGCACTCCCCAACAATCACAGGCCAGGCAGAAATCAGGAGCAGTCAGAAAGTTTACCTAGGCTGATGCAGATAGCCTCAGATGCAGAAGACCATGGGGGATGGAGACTCATGAGCATGTCTAATGGTATGGCAGGGGCTGGAGACATCGGTGGGGTGGCTGGGCACGAAGCACTGCCCAGAGCCCTTGCAGATGTGCCTGTGTCAGCATCCTTGTCTGCCCCGGAGAAACCCTATTGCTCGTTGCACTCCCTTGCCTGGCATGTGACATGACTGGCTCCTTGACATAAAGCAGATTATGAACCACCCCCAAGTGTCCATCATTATCAGTAACCAAGATGAAGACTTGGTTAACGACATGATGGACTGGAAGGTCAGTGAGGGAGACTCCCATTCCAGCACTCTTGCCTGGAAAATCCCATGGATGGAGGATCCTGGTAGGCTGCAGTCCATGGGGTCGGGAAGAGTCAGACACGACTGAGCGACTTCACTTTCACTTTTCACTTTCATGCATTGGAGAAGGAAATGGCAACCCACTCCAGTGTTCTTCTCTGGAGAATCCCAGGGATGGTGGAGCCTGGTGGTCTGCCATCTATGGGGTCGCACAGAGTCGGACACGACTGAAGTGATGCACAGCAGCAGCAGAGGGAGAATCAGAGGACCGGTGGTTAGGGGAGCTACATGGGGAAGGATGAGGGGGAATCATGTTATCCCTGTGCATATGGTGTGAGCCTTCAGAGAGGAGTAGCAGAAGCTGTGGATGCCTGCCTGGCAGGCAAGCTGAACACCCTAGAAGCTTGCACCTTTTCCCTCTTCCTGGTCCTGAAATGTGCAGGAGCTGAGCCATCCCTGGTTTCGCTGCAAGCTGATACTTTCCTTTTGGAACAACCCCTACTTGTGGAAGACAGTGATCATTAAGGAATATTACCTTGACATCACTGGCACAACTTAGCTCCCAGTGCAGTGTGAGTGGGTGGGGGAGGGAGTGCATGCTCCTCCTGCATGATCCTACCCTGTCTCCCCTGTGTTCCCCAGGATACATGATTCCTCCAGGGAGCCTCATTCACCTCTAGTCCACTAACTCTGGGATTATGAAAGGGGAGCTCCCAGCCAATGGGCTGCACAGCAGCAGCCTTAACTTCCTCAACTGGCTGTCAGACCACAACTGCCCAGGATCAAACAGGATTGCTGAGGTGGAGTCTCTCTGGGCCTCTGCAGAATTGATGATTGCTATTAGAGTTCTTGGCTACTCATGGGAGGGTTTGGGGCCTGGTCAGCCCAGTGCTGACCGTGTTCGTGTTGCCAGCAGATCATCGACAAAGACTTGTTGATCAGTCCTCTGCAGCACTACCCAGGTAGAAGGTTCTGAAACGAGAGGTAACTGGGAGAAACATGGGTTGTGAGGAAGTCAGCAGCTGGGCCCTGAAGGCACAGCTGTGTAGAGGTCAGGCCACTCCTTTCCCATGTGGGGAATCTCAGGCTCATGCAGGCTGGATGTGGAGCCTTGGTTAGTGTCATGCACATAGACTGGATGACTGAGGACCTCATCCTCAAGTCATCCTCAAGTCACTTCGTGTCCAAGTCACACACGAAGCAGCTGTGCTTACAGCATGAGGGTCTTATGTGATTCTGATAGAGGCAGGGTTAATCAAGCTCCTTCATCAGAATCTTCCTTCCTTGGGTCCTGCCATCTACAGGTCTCCTGCTGCTCATTGAGTTTGAGATTCCCTGGGTCCTGCTGTTCATTGAGTTTGAGATTCCCTGGGTCCTTCACCCCCACCCCTTCTCCTGGGAAGCCCCACCAATTGCAATGGGCTTCTCTCTGGTGTCACATTGCACTTTTGTGCTGACTTTGGAGTCTTCTCTGAATATCCACATCTGCTGCTTGGCCTCTTACCACCAACACACAGTCAAAGCTGGAAATGGCTTAAGACTGGCTGGTGATAATACTGAAGGGCTGGAGGAGGCAATGGACAGGGATCCCAAAAGGGCAGGACATGGAGTCTACTAACTTCATCTCCCACATTGATGGACACGGGCGTCTTCAGATACTGAAACACCTCTGTTCCCCGTTTTGTGTTTATGTCCCTGTATCTTGCACGAGTGTGTGTACACAGGCGTGCTTGTGTTGCCTGTGTTTGTGCATGTGTCTGGCCCACTGCAGACACAGAGGTGAAAGCGACAGAATGTGAGATGTGGAGCAACCAGAAGAGGAGGCACGAGGCATCCACAGACTTGGGGAGACTGGTCGAAGTATCTCTGCAGTGCCCACTTCCAGGACTGAAATGAGGAAAGGATAGCCAGTGACAACTGTCCTGCAAGTACCAGCCAATCGCACAGACAGTATCTCCTGAACTTCTAGGCCATTGTACTGCAGTTGGTCTAGTCTGGTATTCTGCCCTCTCGTGGAGAAATAGAAGAATGCTTATGAATGTATTGTAAAATCGAAACGTATTCTATACATATTGAAAAAGATACTGTATAACTTTGTTAAAAATAAGTACATACTCATAACAGAAAATGTAAAGTTGCTAGAAAAATACAAGGAAAGAAAAAAATCATCCATGATATCATTTATCATTAGCTCAGAATTCCGAGTTCCTGGGACAGGGAGATAAAATGAGGGTGCACTAGTTCTTTTAGTATAAAATTATCTTTTCTGCTATTTGAATGCCAACATAGAACTTGATTCTGATAAGTGATTCTTGCTTTCTTTACTTATCTTTCAGCCTCTAATTTTACAAATACCTAGTTATTTAACCCCCTGTTTAGAGACTGTTTGCTTCAAGGTTTTCATGTTGTTGTTGTTGGTGGTGGTTTTCCATTTTTGCTATGAGTAAAAAATATTGCATGTCATGGCTATGGTAAATAGTGCTACAATGAATATTGGGGTGCATGCATCTTTTTGAAATAAGGTTTGCCCCAGGAAAATGCCCAGGAGTAGGTCATATGGTGATTATATTTTAAGTTTTTAAGGAGCTGCTATGGTGTTGGTCATAGTGTTGGTACCAATTTACATGCACACCAACAGTTCAAGAGGGTTCCCTTTTCTATACACTCTCTCCAAATTAATATTTGTAGAATTTTTGATGAGGGCTATTTGGGCTGGTGTGAAGTAATATACCTCATTGTAGTTTTGATTTGCATTTCTCTGGTAACTAGTGATGTTGAGCATATTTTCAAGTGTTTGTTGGCCATCTGTGTGTCTTCTTTAGGAAAATGTCTATTTAGATCTGCCCGTTTATTGACTGAGCTGTTTTGTTTTGTTTTGTTTTTTAATACTGGGCTACATGTGCTGTTTGTATATTTTGGAGAATAATGCCTTGATAACCAATGAGAACTATCTGTGTAGCACAGGTAACTGTCTTCAGTACTCTGTGGTGGCCTAAATGGGAAGGAAATTTAAACACAAACACACACACACACACAGTTTAACAATGCACAAGACCCGGGTTCGATCCCTGGGTTAGGAAGATCCCCTAGAGAAGGAAATGGCAAGCCACTTCAGTATTCTTGCCTGGAAAATCCCATGGACAGAGGAGCCTAGTAGACTACCGTCCATGGGGTTGCAAAGAGTCAGACACGAGGGGAGCGACTTCACTTCTTCGATTACCAGTTAGGTTAAAGATTTCCTCCTGCCTTTTGGTAATTTTTCTTATTTTCCTTCTAAGTAATTTGTATTTCTTTGTTCGCTTTGTTTACTTCATGTTTGTCTTCTATTGGGTTTTTCATCGTCTTTTCTTATTTTAACTTTTGAACTCGGCATAAATTAGGTAAATGCACCCTTTGTCAGCTATCTCCCAAATATTTCTCAATTGTCATTTTATGATTCCTTGTTTATTATTTATTTACCCATGCAGAAACTTTTGTACAAAGTGCAAAATTTCCCTTCTTAGCTACTGGACAAAGATCACTTAAATTAAACAATTTAAATAACTGAGAAAAATTCCAAGGACCTAGAGAGTGTAGGTTGAAAGTTTGTGGGGAGAGGTGGCAACTCTCTTTCAGTTCACCTGTGTGCCTTTCCACATGTACTTTTCAATAAACTACCCTGAAATATATCTATCTATCTAGATAGATAGATGATAGATAGATAGATAGATAGATAGATAGATAGATAGATAGATAGATAGATAGATAGATAGATAGATAGATAGATAGATATGTATAAAGAGAAAAAAATGAAGTGGAGGTGGGTAGTGCCATGATGGGCCAAGATGAAGCCAGGACAGGTAGAGCTGCACCTGGGACTCCAAACAGAGGAGTCAGCCACAGGTTTGGTCAGCCCTGTGAAGCCAGCAGGGACATGTCTCTAGAGCTGTGACTGGAGGACTCTGGGCACCCCAGCAGGTACTCAAAGTCAAGATCACCAGGAGGGGAGCACAAGCAGGACGATGATGCTGCACAGTAGGCCTGTCTCCCCTGGGCCACAGGAAAGGTGATGCTACTTTTACTATGGAAAATGTAGTCTGTGGATATTCTGAAAAGAACTTGGTCAGTGCACAGAGTGTGAAAAAGTAAGGAAAAACCATGACTACTTTCGCCACAGTGCCTATTCTACCCCATTTCTCCCCATCATGTTTCAACTCATATTTGTAAAGATGGAATTAGACTTCATGTGCATTTTGGTTTGCTCTGTAAATTCCCAAAGATTTTATTATAAAAATTTCCAAACATTCAACAATGTGGAAAATTTTTTCTAGCTAATACACAAAGACATCCCACCTTGATTCTACTGTAACCATTTTCTGTTCTTCCTTTGTCACACATCTATCCATTTTTCCATTCCTATATCCATCCATTAATCGATCTCACTCCTTGGTGCATTTTGTGGGAGATTGCAGACATCAGTATGTGTCTCTGTATTTCAGCAAGCCTACCATCAAGTAGTGAGCTGTATTTGTTTACAGCAGTTTTCTTTGAAATATAAGCTTTACATACAGTGAAATATACCAATCTTTTTTTCCCCAGTCATGTTCTTTTTTAGTTGAAGATTAGTTGATTTACAATGTTGTGTTACTTTTTGCTTTACAGCCAAGTGATTCAGTTATACACATATATGTGTAATATGCATTCTGTGGGGGTGTGTGTGTATATACAGATTCATTTACTTAATCCTTACACTGTGCCGCGTGTGGGTTTAGTTCACTGACCAGAGATTGAACCTGCATCCCCTCAAATGGAAGTATGGAGCCTTAACCACTGGACTGCCAAGAAAGTCCCATATATATTCTTTTCCATTATGATTTATCATAGGATACTGAATATAGTTCTCTTTGCTCTACAGTAGGAACTTGTCCATCCATTCCATGTACTCCAGTGTATAGCTCTTAGCCCCAGTCTCTTACTCCATCCTGCCCCCAATTCTCTCTGCCTTAGAAGCCACAAGTCTGTTCTCTATGTCCATGAATGTGTTTCTGTTTCATACATATGTTCATTTGTGTCATATCTTCAATTCCACGTTTAAGTGATATTTTGTGTTTGTCTTTGTCTGACTCACTTCACTTACTATGATCATCCATCAGTCCATCCACGTTGCCTCAAATGGCCTTAGTGTTGTACAGTTTCTTGCATCCTTTTTAAGCATACATAGAAGTATTCCTCTGTGGTTATTTTGATTAATATATTATGAAAATGTGTTTAGTACACCACTCTTGGGATAATATGTCCATTTTGAGGCTGTATTAGGGTTTTATATGAATGTATATGTCAGTCAGTTCAGTTCAGTCCCTCAGTCATGTCTGACTCTTTGCCACCCCATGGACTGTAACACACCATGCCTCCCTCTCCATCACCAACTCCCTGAGTCTACTCAAACTCAGGTTCATCGAGTGGGAGATGCCATCCAACCATCTCATCCTCTGTCATCCCCTTCTCCTCCCACCTTCAAACTTTTGCAGCATTAGGAACTTTCCAATGAGTCAGTTCTTCACATCAGGTGGCGAAAGTAGTGGAGTTTCAGCGTCAACATCCCTCCTTAGGGATATTCAGGCTGATTACCTTTAGGATTGACTGGTTTGATCTCCTTTCCATCCAAGCACTCTCAACAGTTTATGTGGATATGAATAAAAATTTATTGTGCTTATGCTCCCCTCATGTGGAGAAATATAAGAATGCTTAAGAATGGAATTTATAAAATCCAGGTGTATTCTATCATATGTTTATGTGGTTATGCATATATATTTACTGTGCTTATGCTGCCCAATCTTGGACAAAAGGAAGAATGCTTATGAGTGTCATTTATAAACTGAAAATTGATTCTTTACATGTTGAAAAGGAAGGAAAGTGACTTGCTGACCTCGTAAAGCATAAGGGTGTGGCCCCCTAGGGAGGCATGTATATAGGGCTGCTCAGGGGCTCTGGAGGAGACAACTGCGAGTCTTCAAAATGGCAAACGACAGCTCCAAGTGGAGCAAGCGCAGCTGTATTCAGTGCATTCTCCCAGCCTGAAGACAGGGATTTCAGACTAGAAACTGTAAAAATCAGGAGAGCTACCTGAACACTGAGAAGAGAAGGTGGGATGGAAGTTTTCTGGTAGGTGGCCCAGAATTAAATGGTCTTCAAGGTGGTTTAAGACCTCAAACACAGCCTAATTATCAAGGAGTGATTTAAGGCAAGATATTAAAGACTAGATAATGGTGAAAGGTGAGCGAGAAGAGAAAGGGAAGCCTGAATACTGTGGCTGTGAACCAAGGTTTGGAGGAGACACACTACCCCTGCCATGTGACACATCAGTGTAGAGTCAGAGAGATGAAGATGGCAGGTGAGTTTCACGGGCTCATAAGGGGCATTTAAAATGCCTCTTTTATCCCACCAAACCATCTTAATTTCTCCCCATCCTCCCCTAGAGGTATCAGGATGGGCCTTTGTGATGTCAAGGCTCACCTAGTGTCACCATTGGCTGGGGAAGTGACTTGCTGACCTCATAATGTATAAGGGTGTGGCCCCCTGGGGAGGGATATATATAGGGGTGCTCAGGGGTCCCACAAATTCCCCATCCCAAATCTCCCACACTATCATCATCTCCTTCAAATTACCCCCACCCCTAATCTCCTACACTCTCACCATTGCCTTCAAATTCTCCCTACCCCAAATCTCCTACACTCTCATAATCTATCAAATTCCCCCACCCCAACCCTCCCACCCCATCACCAGTTGTGGCAGTCTGTATTGAGGCTCTGACCTGAGCCCAACTCATCGCCAGGCCCAAGAGGCTGACCATTCTCTCCCAGGACAGACAGGTGAGCCCCTGGCTCAGCACCTGCAGCTTCCAGCTCCTGCAGCATGAGGCTGTGAGCACACAGGGGGCATTCCTGGGGTGGGGGAGAAAGTGCAGAGACACGGGCTGGAGCCACCTGCCGGGGGCCGGTCCTCTGCCCAACGCCCCCTGTGGACATCCTTGGAAGCGGGATGGGGAGAAGGAGATGGGTGGGAAGGAGACTCCATACAGCTCTGGGCCCTGAGACTACACTTCCAGTAGCAAGTTGGACTGTGTACCTGAGTCAGGGGGCTGACCATGAGCAGTGTAAGGCTATGGCTTGACCGGGGCTGGCCACGCTCTTTCCTGATCAGAGCATTGAGCCAGGACAAGGCAGGTCAACAGAGGCCATTCAAGGATGGGACCCACGAGAGGGGAATGAGGGAGGCAAAACGGTCTGAGCCAGGAACAGGAACACATGCTTTTGAGTTTAGCTCTGCTGGGAACTGTCCCTTGACTCCTTTCCCCTGCCCGGGGTCTCAGGGCCACCAGCTCTAAGTCAGGACACTTAGAGGCCATCCAGAGGCCACAGGGTCTGTAGAGGTGAGAGCTGATGGATGAGGGGAGGGCCCTGGGCTCCTGGCAGGGGGAGTCCTAACCCGGACACAGGCTGAGCAGTGCAGGAAGGTGCCCTATGGGCAATGATAGCCCTCCTCACAGCCAGTGGAGAAGTAGCCCACCAGCCCGGTGAAGTGGGCACAGGAGAAGGGGCACCCCTTACTGGGCAGGCACTCGCGGTACAGACCCCTGGCCGGACAGCCTGCCTCTGAAGTGAAGTCGCTCAGTTGTGTCCAATTCTTTGCGACCCCATGGACTGTAGCTCAAGTGGAGCCCAAAGCTCTTCCGTCCATGGAATTTTCAAGGCAAGAGTACTGGAGAGGGGTGTCATTTCCTTCTCCAGGGGATCTTTCCGACTCAGGGATTGAACCTGGGTGTCCCACATTGCTGGCAGACGCTTTACCAGCTGAACCCTGAATTAGTGCCCGGGCCACACTGCCCTCACGGCCTGCTCTGTCCACCTCCTCTCACCCCAGTGCCCATCCCCTCCAGTGGCCCCCGAAGTCATGCAGACCACACCCTCCCTGGGCCAGACCCTAGGTCATGCCTTCTCCTACAGTCTCCCCTGCCCCGCAAATCCATCTGTTTCCTCCTCTGTTTGCCCACCACTGGCCTGGGTGAGGGGTGGCATGTGGCGGATGGGGTGGGAGAGGTCAAAAGGCAACCTGTGAGTCAGGGTTAAAGGCCAGGATGGGGATCAGGAGTGAAGTCGGAGTGCCCAGACAGGGCCTGGGCTGGTGCTCACCTCTGCAGACCTGGGTGCAGCAGGTGGGGCTCTGGCGGGCAGGCCCCGGGCAGCTGCTCCCGTCCACCACTAGTGATGCTACATTCATCCCAGGAGCCCCACACCCCCGGCCCGGGGCAGGCAGGTACTGCCTGGCACTGCAGGATGCCCACCACACAGGTGCTGGGGATAAAGGCGGGGCCTCAGAAGGCAGCGTCCTGCCTGCTTCCACAGGGTCCCTCCTGCCCGGCTGGCAGCCCACGCCTCCCTGGCGCTCTTGGCTCACCAGTTGTCACACAGCCCCGCCATCACCTCTCTGGGCTCCAGGCTCTCCCAGAAGCTGAGCCCAGACCCCACGGAGTGGCTCTGGTTCTCAGGGATCCCTGAGGGCACAGGAGTGGGGTGGGCACATCAGACGGCTCAGCCAATCACCAGCCCTGCTCAGGGCTCTACCCTGCTGTCTCCACCCACAGGAACCAGGGTCCTGGTGGGTGGAGGACACAGAAGCCCCAACGGGCACCAGCCCTGCGACACAGGAGTTGCCCATTCCCATCCTGCAGTCCCAGGCTGGCCCCTGTGGGCAGAGTGGAAGGGGCCAGGTGGGAGGGCACTGCTGTGCTTGGGGGGCGGGTTGAGGGAGACACTGACCCATGCCTCTGGGCTGGTACTGGCAGCGGCACTGGGCCAGTGGGGGGGGGGGCACACAAAGGCCATCCTGGGACAGCTCGCCTGGGGGTCACCCACAGCTGGGCTGCTGGCAGCCTGTCGAGTCTGGCAAGCAAACAACCTTGGGGAGACAGGTCCTCGAAGGAGTGGAGACAGGGCTGCCCATAGGGGAGAAGACCCTGGCTACCTGCACAGTCTGCAGCAAGAGGGAAGCAGAGTGGGTAGGTTTGTGACGGGGTCCATCCTGAGGCGGGGGGTCCCGAGAGTTGAGTGACCAGCCCTCCTGTCATGCCCACCACCTGCTAGGACCTTCACTCGCCCAGTTCCACGGGGTGAGTGCCCTAAGGGTTCTCCCTCAAAGGAAGTGGCATGCATGTGTGTATGCAGGTGCAGGGGAGGGTCAGATGCAGGGGGTCAAAGCTCAGAGGTAGCATTTTCTTAGCCGTACAAGCCACCACCACCACCCACCATCTCCACAGAAGTCCTCCCCTGTGCACTGAGTGGAATTGCCCTGGCAGGGTCGACTCTGCCTGTGGCCCCCAGGGCAGGGCCAGCCTCCCTCAGAGGTGGGAGGCCAGCTACATGCTCGGCTCTGATGGGACTTTCCCAGGCATACGTCACAGGAAGACCATGGTCCCCTCGGGCTCCAAGCTTCGTCCACTGTGGCAGGAATACAAAAACACCCCTTTGCCTTGGGAGGCCCAAGAGGTCCCAGCCCCCTGGGATTGAAGCCCCCCAGTGGGACGTCTCACCTGGGCACTCAGGGGGGCTGGCACAGGTCTCCCTCTGATGCTGGGCCCCTGCCTCCCCTGCCTGCCTGGGGCTCGCGCCCCCCCCCCCCCATGCTGTGGTGCCAGACAGCTGCAGGCCCTGGAGTGGGTCCTCGTCTGGACCCAGCAGGGCTGGGAGCATGCTGTCCACTCCAACCATGGGCACCAGGTGCCAGGCACTGTGGGGGTGAATGGTGAGCCCTGGGGTGCAGCCATCCCACCCCCAGTCCCAGCCCTCACTGCACCCCAGACTGCTTCTCCTCACCTTGTTCTGAGCGGGGCACATACCTGGGCAAGGCAGGTCTGTGCAGGTGAGCCAGCCCTTGGAGCAGGTGCTGGGCAGGGGAAGCAGTCACAGAGAGAGGGGAGCTCACTCGCGCCATGCCCTCCACATATGCCCCTCCCCATCTGCATCCCCTTCCCCTCTCCTGCACCTCCACTGTCCTCTGAGGTCTCAGTCCCCCTCCCCACTCTCCAGCACCTCCAGACCCTGCACCCTGACACACCCAAGGCACTCTCAGGCATCTTAAAGACTCAGTCCTATGGGGAAGTGACCACAGGTCATCTGCAGCTGAAGGAGGCCAGACAGCAGAAGGAAGCACCACATCACCACTCTCTGCCCTCTCAAAGCACACGTCCAGCTCTCTGAAGTCTCCCAGACCCCCAGAGCTGGTTGGCTCAGTTTCCCCATCTGTCAGACCAAGGGATAGGGTACCTGCCACATCTTCTCAGGATTTATGGGAGCCTAGCCTGCCTAGCCTGCATCATCTGAGACTGGGAGAGCTTGGGTGTGTGAGACACGGAGTGGCCTAGCCCTGCCCTCACCCGTGGCATCCTGCCTGCATGCCCCACCCCTGGCCCTCACCAGTAGTTGCAGCCATCAGGCCTGGCCAGCTGGGTGCCCGGACGGTGCTGCTTCCCAGTCAGCTACAGGTCCAGGCAGCTACAGTGACCGGCTTGCATGCAGACGGTGCCCTCGGCACTCAGCACCTGGCCTGGGGGGCAGTAACAGCCGGGATGGCAGCGCCAAACACAATGTTGGGGGAAAAGGAAGGGAGGGCCTGGGTCAGTGGAAAGTGGGGCGGGGGCAAGGGGACTGCTGCAGGATGAAGTGGGCACCTGGGAGCCACGATAAAGTGAAGAAGGAGGCTGTGGGGGCCAGAGAGGGGGGAAGTGCGATGCTCCAGTTCATATCTGTCTTTTCTAAACAGTTTATGCCAAGTCTCCAGTGGAGTTTCTCCTTCAGGGGATTGGGAAGGGACAGCCTGTGAAGAGCTTCCCTGAATGGAGTATCCACCAGACGTTGGGCCCCATGGAGGTTTGAGTGGGGACCGAGGCAGATCTCCTAGAGTGGAGGGAGCCGGGGACTGGAAAGCTGGTGGGAGCGGTGGGCATTTGGGAAGGTGCTGGGGCTCCCTGGGAGAGGCCGGGACCACGCATCGTGTCCTGGTCCTACCCGCCTCCGTGTGGAGCCTCCTGTCCTCCTTGGACAGGCCCGAGCAGGGCTTCTCAAAGCACCATCCCTTCGCTCTAGCTGTTTGCTCCAGCATCTTTTGGCACGGGACCACTTCCTCGCCACTGTGCAGGCACCACTAGATCATGCCCCCTCGCCGGAGGCTGGCTTGGACTCCTCTCCATGGTCCTGGACTGGCCCCATGCCCCAGAACAGGAGTGCGCCCTCACACGTGCACAGGGTCAAGGTCTGCACATCAACGCGCCCCACATGGGGGGTTTTGGATGATCCACCAAGAGGACTTCCCTTTTCCTGTGTGCTCCTGCTGTTTCTATCATAAAACATGTCAACTGAAAAACATATATGCAGTAAGGATGACAAGGGCAGCTGGATGAGGCTCACTCTCACTGCTCTCTAGAACCAGGAGCCAGGCTGGCTGGGCACTGACCCCTATCCTTCCCACCAACTGCGGATGGCTCCAGCTCAGACGGACCACACTCTGCCGTCCGGCAACATGACCATCAGGAGCCCAGACTCACCACGAGGTCATCGCAGGAGTAAGGGCAGCGAGGACCACGGGCCCCTTTGATTGTGGTGCCGTTGGTCACTGCTGGGGGGAGGGCACCGGGTGCATAGACAGCTGTGCGGGTCACTCCCCCGACCCCCACCTCCCCGCTTGCCTCCCCAGAATGCTCCCCATAGCTTTCTCACCTCTCCTCCTTGACCCCCACCGCCGTCCCTGGCAGGCACCTGGGCACGGTAAAGCCTGGCAGGCCACCCCCTGCATCCGAGGCCCTTCTCAGTACTCCCCCAGGCCCTGGGGTGGGGGCTGGTCACAGGCTAGGGTCTGGCTCTGGAGACCCCCAACTCGCCACAGTTCCAGTTACAGCTTGACCAGGGTCTCCAAGGGCCCCAGCCTTAAGCTCCTGGGGAATAGAAGAGGAAGCAGTGGTGAGGGGATGGGCTTGGCTGAGGCAAGGTGGCCGGCAAGTCTGGGCTCCATGGGACTCACGGTCACACTCCGGCAGGAGGCAGGACTCAGGACTCCTCCTCTGCTTTGGGGCCTGGGCAAAGAAGGGGCGCTGAGGCCAGCAGGGGAAGCGGGGCCACTCTGGATGGCACCCTGCTGGGGGGCCCGGTGTAGAAGCAGTGTATGTGGTGCTGGGCTGGGCCAAAATAGGCAGAGCACTCCCTCCTTGGGGTCCAGGGTGACCACGTGGGCTGACCTGCGGTGCTTAGCAGGAAGCGGCAGAGAGGACAGCAGAGGCTGAAGGGGTCCAAAGCGCAGGGGTGGGGCAGAGTGTGTTGCAGAGGACAGGCCAACCCCTCCCTGCTCCCACCCCTCCAGAGGGCTTTCTTCCCCAGTGCTACCCCCCACCCTTGCACAGACACACTCTGGCGGGGCTGGGGCTGGGGGTGAAGTCAGGAGATGCCCCCTTCTCACCCTCCTCACAGTGCCAGGAGGTGCAGTTAGTGATGAGCCCAGAGACACAAGAGCTGGTGGAGAAGCAGCAGACAGTGGGGGCACTCTTACAGGCTGAACATGACCCCAAAAATTCATATGTTGGAGCCCTAATGTGTGAGCATGCTTGCAGAATTGTGACCTTGTTTGGGGTGGGGGGGTCTTTGCAGAGATGATCAAGTTAAAATAGGGCCATTAGGGTGACCCAAACCCAGTATGACTGGTGTCCTCTACAAAGGGGAAATCGGGACACAGGTGCAGACAGAGGGGATGTGAAGACCCAGCGAGGAGATGGTTATGTGAAGCAGGAGTGAGGGATGCCACCACAGGCCAGGGGAGGCCAGGAATTGCCCACAAACTCCCCAAGATGAGGGGGGCTGGGAAGAGCCCCAGCAGATGGAGACGGGTGGGAAGAGTGCGACTGGTGAGGAGGGGGCAGGCAAGCTGCACACACAGGCTTGACTCCAAAAGGTGCACACTGTGCCTGTGGGAGGGGGCTTATCTGTGGCCCATGGAGGCCAACACCCCCCTGCCCCCCATGCAGAGGAGAGACAGAGGGTCCTCGGGGTCATGGGGCCATTGCAGGGGGCGGCAGCCTCACAAATTCTCACATGGACGAAGCACAAAACTGCCTGGGGGGGGTGGAGGCGTCCCCTGTGGGTAGAGGGGCAGTCCCTAGATCAGACCACTGCCAGTCTTCAAAGTTGAAAAGACAGCTCCAGCCTAGTTATTAAGGACGGATTTTAGGCAACATATTAAAAACTAGATAATGATGAAAGGTGAGAGAGACAGAATGAAAGCCTGGATACTGTGGCTCTGAAGCCAGGTTTGGAGGAGGCACAATACCCCTGCCATGTGACACAGCATTGTGAAGTTAGAGAGATGAAGATGGCAGGTGAGTTTCATGGGCTCATAAGTGGCATTTAAAATGCCTCTTTTAGGTCTAGCTTGTCCATTGTGTTATTTATTTTTTTTTCACCTGAACTTTATATGCTTTATAAATTAGAAACATAAAAACAAAAGTAGTTGTTTCAATACAGGCTTTCAGACATATTATTATGGGATCTGCAAAATGCTACTCTAGGCAATGACTTACTATGAATAAATGCATACCTACCTAGAAAGAAGTCATGCTTTTCCTAATCAAATTCAAATAGAATCTTACTGGAATTTAGCTTGTTATTATATGGAATCAGATATTCAAGTGACAAAACATGAGACTGAAATGCAAACATGTTTCCTAAATTCTATTAAAAGGTTTTTTTTTTAATTTTTAGTGTCTTATCAACCACATTTACATACCCTTACATAAAGGGTTTTTTTTTTTTTTTTTTTTCATTTATTTTTATTAGTTGGAGGCTAACCACCCTACATCACTGCAGTGGTTTTTGTCATACATTGAAATGAATTAGCCATGGATTTACATGTATTCCCCATCCCGGTCCCCCCTCCCACCTCCCTCTCCACCCGATCCCTCTGGGTCTTCCCAGTGCACCAGGCCCGAGCACTTGTCTCATGCACCCAACCTGGGCTGGTGATCTGTTTCACCCTAGATAATATACGTGTTTCGATGCTGTTCTCTTGAAACATCCCACCCTCGCCTTCTCCCAGAGTCCACAAGTCTGTTCTATACATCAGAGTCTCTTAAAGTTTGTGTTTCCTTGTTAATTTTCTGTTTAGTTGATCTACCCATAGGTGTGAGTGGGGCATTAAAGTCTCCCACTATTATTGTACTATTGTTAATTTCCCCTTTCATACTTGTTAGCATTTGCCTTACATATTGTGGTGCTCCTATGTTTGGTGCTGCTGCTGCTGCTGCTAAGTCACTTCAGTTGTGCTTGACTCTGCGATCCCATAGACAGCAGCCTACCAGCCTCCTCCGTCCACGGGATTTCCCAGGCAAGAGTATTGGAGTTGGTTTCCATTGCCTTTTCCGATGTTGGGGGCATATATACTTATAATTGTTATATCTTCTTGGACTGATCCTTTGATCATTATGTAGTGTCCTTCTTTGTCTCTTTTCCCAGCCTTTATTTTAAAGTCTCTTTTATCTGATATGAATATTGCTACTCCTGGTTTTTTGTGGTCTCCATTTGTGTGAAATATTTTTCCAGCCAGCCCTTCACTTTCAGTCTGTATGTGTCCCTTGTTTTGATGTGTGTCTCTTGTAGACAGCATATATTGGGGTCTTTTTTTTGTATCTATTCAGCCAGGCTTTGTATTTTGGTTGAGACATTCAACCCATTTACATTTAAGGTAATTTTGATAAGTATGGTCCCGTTGTCATTTACTTTGTGATTTTTGGTTCAAGTTTACACACCCTTTCTGTGTTTCCTGTCTAGAGAAGATCCTCAAAGCTATGTTGCAGAAATCAACAAAGCTAAAAGCTGGTTCTCTGAGAAGATAAATAAATTTGACAAACCATTAGCCAGACTCATCAAGAAACAAGGGGAGAAGAATGAAATCAACAAAATTAGAAATAGAAATGGAGAAATCACAATAGACAACACAGAAATAGAAAGGATCCGAAGAGACTACTATCAGCAACTATATACCAATAAAATGGACAACTTGGAGGAAATGGACAAATTCTTAGAAAACTATAACTTTCCAAAACTGAATCAGGAAGAAATAGAAAATAACAGACCTATCACAAGCACAGAAATCAAAACTGTAATCAGAAATCTTTCAGCAAAAATAAGCCAAGGACCAGACGACTTCACAGCTAAATGCGACAGAAAATTTAGAGAGGTGCTAACACCTATATTACTGAAACTCTTCCAGAAAATTGCAGAGGAAGGTAAACTTCCAAACTCATTCTATGAGGCCACCATCACCCTAATACCAAAACCAGACAAAGATGCCACAAAAAAAAAAAAAAAAAAAAAAAAAAACTACAGGCCAATATTACTGACTAACATAGATGCAAAAATCCTTCACAAAATTCTAGCAAACAGAATCCAACAGCATCTCTAAAAGATCATAAATCATGAGCAAGTGGGCTTTACCCCAGGAATGCAAGGATTCTTTAATATCTGCAAATCAATGTAATACACCACATTAACAAATTGAAAGATAAAAACCATATGACTATCTCAACAGATGCAGAGAAAGTCTTTGACAAAATTAAACATCAATATATGATAAACTCTCCAGAAAGAAGGAATAGAAGGAACATACCTCAACATAATAAAAGCTATATATGACAAACCCACAGCAAACATCATCCTCAATGGTGAAAAATTGAAAGAATTTCACCTAAAGTCAGGAAGAAGACAAGGGTGCCCACTGTCACCACTACTATTCAGCATAGTTTTGGAAGTTTTGGCCACAACAATCAGAGTAGAAAAAGAAATAAAAGGAATTCATAATGGAAAAGAAGAATTAAAACTCTCACTGTTTGCAGACGACATGATCTTCTACATAAAAAACTCTGAAGATTCTACCAGGAAATTACTAGAACTAATCAATGAATATAGTACAGTTGCAGGATATAAAATTAACACAGAGAAATCCCTTGCATTCCTATACACTAACAATGAGGAAACAGAAAGAGAAATTTAGGAAACAATTCCATTCACCATTGCAAAGAAAATAATAAAATACTTAAGAATACATCTACCTAAAGAAACAAAAGACCTATATATAGAAAGCTATAAAACACTGATGAAAGAAATCAAAGAGGACACAAATTGATGGAGAATTATACCATGTTCATGGATTGGAAGAATCAATATAGTGAAAATGAGTATATTACCTGAAGGAATCTATGGATTCAATGCAATCCCTATCAAGCTACTGATGGTATTTTTCACAGAACTAGAACAATGATTTCACAATTTTCAAGGAAGTACAAAAAACCTTGAAGTAGCCAAAGCAATCTTGAGAAAGAGGAATGGAACTGGAGGAATTAACCTGCCTGACTTCAGGTTCTACTACAAAGCTACAGTCATCAAGACAGTATGGTACTGGCACAAAGACAGAAATATAGATCAATGGAACAAAATAGAAAGCCCAGAGATAAATCCATGCACCTATGGATACCTTATTTTTGACAAGGGAGGCAAAAATATACAATGGAGAAAAGACAATATCTTTAACAAGTGGTGCTGGGGAAACTGGTTAACTACTTGTCAAAGAATGAAACTAGAACATTTTCTAACACCATACACAAAAATAAACTCAAAGTGGATTAAAGATCTAAACATAAGTCCAGAAACTATAAAACTCCTAGAGGAAAACATAGGCAAAACACTCTCGGACATAAATCACAGCAGGATCCCCTATGACCCACCTCCCAGAATAATGGAAATAAAAGCAAAAATAAACAAATGGGACCTAATTAAACTTAAAAGCTTTTGCACAACGAAGGAAAGTATCAACCTTCAGGCGGAAAAGACCGCCTTCAGAATGGGAGAAAATAATAGCAAATGAAGCAACAAAGGATTAATCTCAAAAATATACAAGCAACTCCTGCAGCTCAATTCCAGAAAAATAAATGACCCAATCAAAAAATGGGCCAAAGAACTAAACTGAGAGTCCTCCAAGGAAGACATACAGATGGCTAACAAACACATGAAAAGATGCTCAACATCACTCATTATCAGAGAAATGCAAATCAAAACCACAATGAGGTACCATCTCACGCCAGTCAGAATGACTGCTCTCCAAAAATCTACAAAAAATACATGCTGGAGAGTGTGGGAATGCAAACTAGTACAGCCACTATGGAGAACAGTGTGGAAATTCTTGAAAAGAGTGGAAATAGAACTCCCATGTGACCCAGCAATCCCACTGCTGGGCATACACAATGAGCAAACCAGAATTGTATGAGACATTTGTACTGCAATGTTCATTGCAGTACTGTTTACAGTAGCTAGGACATGCAAGCAACCTAGATATCCACCAGAAGATGAATGGATAAGAAAGATGTGGTTCATATATACGATGGAATGTTACTCAGCTATTAAAAAGAACACATTTGAATCAGTTCTAATGAGGTGGATGAAACTGGAGCCTATTATACAGAGTGAAGTAAGTCAGAAAGAAAAACACCAATACAGTATATTAATACATATATATGGAATTTAGAAAGATGGTAACAATGGGTCTATATGCGAGACAGCAAAAGAGACACAGAGATAAACAACAGACATTTGGGCTCTGGGGGAGAAGTCTAGGGTGGAATGATTTGTGAGAATATCTTTGAAACATGAAACTACCATATATGAAATAGGTTGCCAGTCCAGGTTTGATGCATGAGAGAGGGCGCTCAGGGTCGCTGCACTGGGATGACCCAAGGGGTGGGATGGGGATGGAGGTGGGAGGGGTTTCAGGATTGTAAACACATGTACACCCGTGGCTGACTCATGTCAATGTATGGCAAAAAACACTACAACATTGTAAAGTAGTTAGCCTCCAATTAAATAAATATATTTTTAAAAAAGAAAAGCAAAAAAAAAAAAATGGCCAATTTAGATGAAATTAAGAAATTCCTTGAATGACACAAATTCCCAAAACTAACTCAAGAAGAAAGTGAAAACCCTAAATGTCCCTAAATCTATCAAAGACGTGGAACAGAAAACTCCAGGCCCATGTGACTTAACTAGTGAATGCTATGAAATACGTAAAGGAGAAATATCACTAAGCCCATACAATTTCCTTCAGAAAGGAGAGGAGGGGAAGCACTCCTCAAATCATTTTATGAAGCCAGCCTTACAAAATACCAAAGCCAGATGAAGACATTGCAAGAAAAGACAACCACAGACTAATATTCTTCATTAAGTTAAGCACAAAAAATGAAATGTTAACAAATGTAACCCAGCAATACATAGAGCATTATGACCAAATGAGATCTATCCAAAGAATGAAAGATTGGTTATGCATTAAAAAATAGTACACCAGTGTTATTCATCATAATAAAACACAGAAGAAAAACCATATGATCCTTTCGATAGACGCTGTAAAATAATTTGACAATATTCAACAACCACTATGATAAAAACTCTCGGAAAACTAGGACTACAAACAGACTTTCTTATACTGATCAAGGTAACCTACAAAACTCCTACAGCTAACATGATAATGGAGGACAATTTAATCCCTCCAGTGGGGGTGGGGAAGGCTACTCGCCTTGGACTTGGAGGGCTGCAGAGAGGCCTATCCAGCCAGGGGGTGGGGATCAAGTGGCCTGGTTGAAGTACCTGCCCCCTCCTCAGGCAATGGACCTGATCCAGTCACCTCCCGTGGCACCAGTGGTTCCCTGGCGGACGCATGACACCTCCCAGGAAGTGGTGCTCCAGGCCCATGAACAACCCTGGCTGTACTGTGTCTGTTGACTTGAACTGCTTCCAGACCAGAAGTAGACCAGCACCCAGCAGGCCAGCAGACACAGAGTCACTGCCCAGTTGAGGTCCCCGGCACCTCCAGCCCTCTGGAGAGCTGCAAGACTTTGTTCCTGGTGAGGGAAAGCCCGTGAGAGTTGTGCCTGCAGAGGCCAGGAGACTGGGTTTGTCCTGGGGGACACTGCCTTTCCAGCAGCCCTTGAGTGCCTCTGGTCTCACCGGAGCTTCTGGGGGGCCTGGGGTAAGCCCCCAGCCTGGAGTCCCTGCAGCCTGTGTGCCTGGAGCCCCAGGTGCCCCTGCCCCATTCAATTCCCAGTGAGTTCAACAGCAGTCCCCACTTCCCTCCCCAGGCAGCCAGCACAGCCTGCTCTGCATCCCTACTCTCAGGACTCCAGTACCGAGTCCCCATGCATCGCCATGGGAAGGCACCTGCACATGAACACAAGCACACACAGGTGCCAATGTGCATGTCTCTGACCCGTGCTCTCTTTCACACACACACACGCCCATGTGCATGCACCTGACCACATGCTCGCTCTCTCACACACACACATGTGAATGCTCATTTGCAAGCACCTCCACAAACACACATGCACACACCTGTGTGCATACACCTGTGCACACACACTCTCTCACACACATGTACACACACATGGGCTAGCACTTGTGCACAGACACTGTCTCAGGCACACACACACACACACACACACACACTCACAGAGACATGCACATCAGATATCCATGTCCATGCACCTGCTCACGTGCACATGGACACACACACACACACACACACAGACATGCACATCAGATATCCATGTCCATGCACCTGTTTAGGTGCTGATGGACACACAAGGAGACACACAAGGAGACACACACACACACACACACACACACACACATACACATACGTGAGCTATGTGTGGGACACCAGAGGGACAGACCAGCCCTGACCCAGCATGCCCGACTCCCTTCCAGAAGTTGATGACAGGGACCTGTGCTCAGCAGGATGCTCACCTGTGAGCATGGCCAGGCTGGCAGCAGTGCAGTCTTGGAGGTGCACAGGGACTGGTGATCACTTGGGGTTTGCAGGCTTGGACTGGAAACAGTCACTTGCCCTGAGGAGTGGAGCATGGTCTGTTTGAGCATGCGCATTGAGGAGCTGCCCCCACACTAAAGGGTGGACCACCACCCAGAGGCCTGACAGCTGAGCTGTTTACCAGGTTTCCAGGCCTGAGGCAGCGCTGACTCAGAGGACCCAGACCACGTGGTTGTGCATCTGCACACGCGCATTGGGGCAACATGGCGCACGAACACGTGAAGCTTCTGCAGGGGGTGCCCATTACCCGAGAGCCTGCAGTGTTCACAGGAAACAGTGGTCGGTGGGAACCAATCGTGTGGCAGGAACTGGGTGTGTATGTGTAGGCGCTCTGCTGATGCTGAGCTGCCGGTCTCACTACAGGGTTGGGATCTGTAGGGAGGGTTCAGTCTTTCCTGACACGGAGGGAGGGGGAGAGCGGTTTAAGATGGAGTCCAAGGCACAAGATGGAGGGGCCACGAGGGCAGCCAATGAAGATGCAGGTGTCGAGGCCTTTGCAGCAGGTACAGCACGTGGCAACCAAGGTATGCCTGGTGGTGCTAGTGGTTGCAATGGCCCTCACAACCCAGCTGGCCCTGGTGATGCCAGCGACCTGGCTGATCGCAGAGGCCCCAGCACTGGAGGAGAGTCAGGTGGCATAGCCAGTGCCATTCAGGAGATCCCAGGGGCACCCCAAGCACCAGGGCCTGGTGGAGATGTTGCACCCAGAGCCGGAGTTCTGAGTAACTGACTGCTCCAGCTGTATCCTATTCCAGGAGCCCTGGTGGGCCAGGCCGCTGCAGCAGTCGGGGTGTGGCCTAGGTGTGGTTTTGAGGGACGCAGGTGGTGGGGCCTAAACTTCAGGAGGAGGGTACTTTGGGGGGTGGCTGGAGGGTATGGGTCAGGGGTGGTCTGGCTGCCAGGGGATGGTGGTGAGGAAAAGCAACCTGAAGGGAATCAGAGGGTTGAGCAGTGATATCCAGGGTGTCCGGCAGTGGCTTTGTGGGAGAAGGCAAGTCTCTGTTACCAGGGAGCCTGACATACAGGCAAAATGAGTAATGTGGATGGTGGTGAGGAAAAGCAACCTGAAGGGATCCAGAGGGTTGGGCGGTGATATCCAAGGTGTCCTCAGGGTATAGGTTGGGAGGTCCAGACAGCTTAGGCGGCGGCCTTGTGGGAGAAGGCAGGTTTCCGTGAGCAGGGAGCCTGATGTACAGGCAAAATGACTAGTGTGGATGGTGCCTTAACCATATCTTCACCAGCAGCCTCTTTGTGCCTTTCTCATCGCATGAGGAGGTGGACAATGCCCGTCACTCTCGAACTCGACATACTCAACTGCGAGGGCCTGTTCAGAAGGAGCTCTAAGTTATGGCCGCATGTTGGTTCTGTCAGTTCTAAAGGGGGTCGGGAGGGAGTGGTGGGTGCTAGGCAGTGGCCAGTCTCAGCCCAGGAGGAGCCATAACAGAGCGTTAAGCCTAAAGGGGAAGTGTGGTGCTCTGGGCTTGTCGGTGTGTGGGGACAGAGGGAGGACATGCTCCTCTCCCTCCTTTTCCGTGGGAACTTGAATTTCCTTTTCCCTCCCTTTTAGCCGATTGACTGCTGAAGACCACGGCCTGCTCCAGACATCCATTGCCTTCTGTCTGGAGCAGCTTTCCCTGGTGATGTGGACCTTGAAGCACTTTGTGCCCCGCCCCCCCCCACCCTTTTCCTAAGTCTCAGCACAGAAGAGGGGCTTATATCTAGCCTATGTGCCCTAACCTCAATTGTCCTTCCTGAGGGCATTGTTTTCTGCAGTGGTTTGATTGGGCTTCGTCTTGTGCCTGTGCTCCTGCTTGGGGGCTCATTGTCCACATAGTTTGTTTGGTATTTGTTAAATGCGGAAAATAAAACTGAGCTACTGTGCAGTCTCTGACTTTAGTTTTAGCTTGTTCACTTCCTAGTACTGCATTCATCTCCCAGTTGGAGGGGAGGTTCTGAGATCCAGATATTCAAGGAGTACAACATAAGTGAAGACAATGTAAGAAGTGGGAGAATAAGAAATTTGTGTACTGCAGTTCAGAATTGATTTTTGAATATTTTCTCAGTTTTATAGTTACATTTATATATTAAGATATAATACCAGAATGTTGTTGTTGTTGTTCAGTCTCTAACTTGTGTCCAACTCTTTGCAACCCCATGGACTGTAGCACACCAGGCTCTGTGTCCCCACTTTCTCCTGGAGTTTGCTCAAGTTCATGTCCATTGAGTGGGTTATGCTGTCAAACTGTTCATCCTCTGTCCTCCCATTCTCCTTTGGCCTTCAATCTCTCCCAACATCAGGGTCTTTTCCAGTGAGTCAGCTTTTTGCATCTGCTGGCCAAGTGTTGAAGCTTCAGCTTCAGCATCAGTCCTTCCAATGAAAATTCTGATTTCCCTTAGGATTGACTGGATTGATCTTGCAGTCCAAGGCACTCTTAAGAGTATCCTTGTATCCTGAAACCATGCTAAACTCATTAATTAATTGCAATAGCTCTTTTGTAGATCCCATTGACCTTCCTACATAGGCAATCATTTTGTCTTTGAATAAATTCACATTTATTTCTCCCTTTCCAATTGATATATTTTAACTGATTTCTGTTAAAATGAAGTCTCCAACACTTTGGCCACCTGATACGAAGATCCGACTCATTGCCAAAGACCCTGATGCTGGGAGAGATTGAAGACAGGAGGAGAAGGGAATGGCAGAAGATGAGATGGTTGGATGGCATCACAACACCATGGGCATGAGTTTGAGCAAGTTTTGGGAGATGGTGAAGGACAGGGAAGCCTAGTGAGAGCAGTCCGTGAGGTCCCAAAGAGTTAAAGACTTGACTGAGCGACTGAACAACAACACACTGATTTCTGTTATAATGGATTTGACTTTCCTGCTTCTTTGCCTCTTGGTAATTTTACATTGGATGCCAAGCATTATCAAATTTCCCTTGCATGCTTGATATTTTTCTATGCCTAAACTTATTCCTGAGCCTTTTTCTGGATTCCTGTTAAGATGCTTGGAAACACTTTGATCCTTTTAGGTCTTACCACTTAAGATTGGCTCTGTAGGACCAGAGCAGATCTAAATGTAGGATGAGCTTAATGAAGTGAAATCTTCAATGTCTGAGAAAGCTATAGCTGGAAAAAAATGATGTTTTAAAATTTATATTTATGAAAATAATTTGTTTATTTTTGGCTGTGCTGATCTTGTTAACTGTGTGCAGTATTTCTGTGCTTGCAGCCAGTGGGGACTACTCTCAAATTGCTGTGCTCAGGCTTCTCATTGTGGAGGCTTCTCTTGTCATGGAGCACGGACTCTAGATCATGGTGAGCTCAGTAGTTGAGGCACATGGGCTTAGTTGCACCAGGCATGTGGGATCTACCCTAACCCTAAACATAACAATTCTTTGGGAGAGGTACTATTATACCCTCATTTTGCAAACAAGGAAGTTAAAACTCAGAATGGATGTGTGGCTTGCAAAGAGGTTAGACTGGAATCCAGGTGGGGTCTGTCTACCTCCCAAGGCAATGCCCTTGACCACACCACATAACCTGGCCTTTCACTGCACCTTGGTGCTTACCTGAGGGATGCGGGGCCTAAGGGTAGAAATCCACTGGGGTCTGAGCAGGCAAGTTCCGTGGGTCCATGTAGGAAGCCATCATCATACGCCTGGGGTCAAAGCCCAGTGTCTGGGGGTAGTGTGGGTAGAAGGTGTCATGCAGATTGATGGTGGAAGGTACGCCAGCTGCTAGTCCTGCATACTGTACAGCTGCTCCTGGCAGAGACAGAGACCTGGCTGCTCAGGTGCTGCAGAGCAGACAGGCTGTGTGAGCACACAAACATAGTCTTCAAGGGAAAATCCACCCAGACAGAAGACCAGAGAGGGGAGACCCCAGTGTATGCATGACCACGTTCAGGCCTGGGCCCTCTCCCAGGATGGATGAATGGTCATGCCATTGTCACACGGGACCCTGGGGCTCCCCGACTACACATGGTACCTTGGGTGCTCACACAAATCAAAGGCTCTCCTGGAGCTGACTGGTGACCAGCACACCTTCTAGAGCACCTCTCCCCGATGCTCCTCCCCAACCGCAGCCCCCACTGCCTCTTCAGTCCACTCTCCACACTCCAATGCCCTGACCATGGCTGGAATCTTCCTGGATTCTCCACAGCTCTCCATCTAACAGCTGGAATCCCACAGGGATGCATGTGATCTACAGGGTTCTGCAGGTCCTGACCCATCTGCCTCTCCAGCATCACCTCCCATGACTGCCCTGGCCTCCAGTCCACATACCTGCCTGCCCACCTGCTTCAGGCCTTGGAAACACACTGGGCCATCTCTTCCCTGGGCCCCAAATCCGCTCACCCACACCCGTCCTTCAGGTTTCAGCTTAAAGAGCACTTCCTCTGGGAAGCCTGCCACACGTTCTGAGGAAGATCAGGTCCTCTGCTCTCAGCTCTCAGAGCACTGGTGTTTCTCCTGTGGTTAGCCTCCCTACCTACATCAGGGGATCGTGTGCCAAGTTCACTGCAGTCCACTCATCTCTACCACCAGACGTGGTACGGAAAAATTTCATTGCATGAATGGATGAACATAACACATCGATAGAGTATTAAAACTCAAGGACCTAGACCCAGTGAGGGTTCATTGCAGACCCTGCTCCACAGCACCCCTGGAGATTCCCTCACGAGTGCATCCTGAACCAGTATCGTGGCTAGACACAGGTACAGTCAAACAAGCAGGACAGCTGACCCGGCACACCCTATTCTACCAGCCTGCTGGTTCAACCCCGGTTCCCTGGACGGCTTGTCAGTGCTCACAGCACCTCTTAGGCACGGTCAGCACTCAGTAAGTGGAGCTCTCCCGGGCTCTGCCCACAGCTCCTCCTCCTGTTTAGACCCAAGGTCCCCAGGGAAGCTGACCAGACAGTCTGTTTGCAAGACTCACTCAGGCTACTCTGGCACATTCAGACTTCCTCCTACTCTTCAGAAAGGATTTACCTGTCACTGCCCATCCCTACCCTCCATAGAAGACTTCCCTAGAGCAGCTGTTATGACTCTGTCTGGCTGGAGTGACTCCAGAGAATTCTCCAGTTGGCAGTAAATCTTCACCAAGCCCAGGAGTAATTGCATGGTGCCTGCTCACAGTGCAAAACTACAACAGCACAATGAATGTACATACCTGTCTAGAACATAGGCCACAGTGGGCTTCTGGAATGCTCCCTAGGAACCCAAGAAAAACAGGGTCTAGGGAGAAAGTTGTAAAGGCAACTTTAAAAAATTACTGGGAAAGGTGGAAACTTTGATCTGTTTCCCTGGGGCACCCACATTTTGGAACATTTTTGTTAGGGAGTTAGAATAGAAAAAATGATTCCAGAATGGTGGTGGCTAAAAGACAAGGAAGGGGAAATCCTGAAAAAAATAGAACAAAGGAAGGTCAGAGGACCAGAGTGAGGACCTAAGGTAGAACAAGCAACGCTCCTGGCTTGCCCAATTTATATAAGGCAGGCCCAGGGGAAGGAAAAACATTTAAAAGAGGGTTTCTCTCCTTCCTGCGTGCACACACTCTCTCTCACTCGCTTGCACTCTCTCCCACGTGTGCTCTCTCTCTCTCTCTCTCTTTCTCTCTTTCTCTCTCCTCTCCGCATCTTTTCACTCTGCCTGTTCTCATGCCTCAAGGATGTACTTTCCTTTTATTTTCTAAATAAAAGTTCGCTTTAACATGGAGCTGTTAACACTGATATGTCTGAGAGCTATAACACAGTCTGTCCGAGAGCTGAGAGCTATAACATGGTCTGTTTAAGAGCTGTGACACACCAAGGGCTTTTACGTCCATCACTTCAAATTTTTGTTAAGAGGAGAGAGAACCTAGGAAATTGCACACTCCCCTGACAATTTTTGATTGCTAACAATAATTAACCAGGCTTCCCTCAGGGTCCAGTGTTTAAGAATACACTTTTCAATGCAGGAGATGTGGATTTGATCACTGGTCAGGGAACTAATTGGAGAAGGAAATGGCAACCCACTCCAGTACTCTTGCCTGGAGAATCCCATGGACAAAGGAGCCTGGTGGGCTACAGTCCATGACATCACAAAGAGTAGAACACAACTGAGCAACTAACACACACAGGAAACTAAGATCCCGCATGCCACAGGGCACCTAAGCCCATGCTCTGCAGCCAGAGAAGCTGACATGCCACCATGAAGACCCAGCACAGCTCAAACAAATAGAGAAAGAGACTCAATATTTTAAAAACATTGAGGGAACATGAATAAAGACACTACTGGACTACTGAAAAACTACTTATTTTTTGCAGCCAAAGATGGAGAAGCTCTATACAGTCAGGAAAAACAAGAGTGGAAGCTGACTGGAGCCCAGATCATGAACTCTTTACTGCAAAATTCTGACTTAAATGGAAAAAGTGGGGGAAATCACTAGACCATTCAGGTATGACCTACATCAAATCCCTTATGATTATTCAGTGGAAGCGAGAAATAGATTCAATGGATTATATCTGATAGACAGAGTGCCTGAAGATCTATGAATGGAGGTTCTTGACATTGTACAGGAGGCAATGATCAAGACCACTCCCAAGAAGAAGAAATGCAAAAAAGGCAAAATGGTTGTCTGAGGAGGTCTTACAAATAGCTGAGGAAAGCAGAGAAGCTAAAGGCAGAGGAGAGAGGAAAGATACACCCATTTGAATGCAGAGTTCCAAGCAATAGAAGGAGAGATAAGAAAGCCTTCCTCCGTGATCAATGCCAAGAAATAGAGAAAAATAACAGAATGCTAATGACTAGAGATCTCTTCAAGAAAATAAGAGATACAAAAGGAACATTTCATGCAAAGATGGGCACAATAAAGGACAGAAATGGTATAGACCTAACAGGAGCAGAGGATATTAAGAAGTGGTGGCAAGAATACACAGAAAAACTACACAAAAAAGATCTTCATGACCCAGATAACCACAATTGTGAGATCAATCACCCAGAGCCAGACATACTGGAATATGAAGTAAAGTGGGCCTTAAGAAACATCATTACAAAAAAAAAGCTAGTGGAGGTGGTGCAATTCCAGTTGAGTTATTTCAAATCCTTAAAGATGATGCTGTAAAAGTGATGCAGTCAATATGCCGTCAAATTTGGAAAACTCAGCAGTGGCCACAGGACTGGAAAAGGTCAGTTTTCAATCCAATCCCAAAGAAAGGCAATGCCAAAGAATGTTTAAACTACCACACAGCTTCACTCATCTCACACCCTAGCAAATTAATGCTCAAAATTCTCCAAGCTAGGCTTGAACAGCATGTGAACCATGAATGTCCAGATGTTCAAGCTGGATTTTGAAAAGGCAGTGGAACCAGAGATCAAACTGCCAACATTTGTTGGATCATCAAAAAAGCAAGAAAGTTACAGAAAATCATCTTCTTCTGCTTTATTGACTATACCAAAGGCTTATGCCAGTTGATGCTTTTGAACTGTGGTGTTGGGGAAGACTCTTGAGAGTCCCTTGGATTGCTAGGAGATCCAACCAGTCCATCCTAAAGGAAATCATTCCTGAATATTCTTTGGAAGGGCTGATGCTGAAGCTGAAACTCCAAGACTTTGGCCTCCTGATGCGAAGAACTGACTCATTGGAACTCAGAAGATGGGGTGGAAAATTCAGTTTGTTGCAGTCAATCCTGAGCTTCCTTCTTTTCTTTTGGAAACTATGTTTTTTAAATGGCATTTTTATATAAATTTTACTTGAGCAGGTATTTCTGCATAAGAACTGAACTCAGGATTGTGGAAGGAGGGCTCTGAATAAAATATATTTCCTGTCATTGAAAACAAAACCTCATCTGTACAACTGTAAAGATGAATTCTACTCTGTGAGAGACAGGTCAGGACTTGTCATTATTCTAGCTCCCTGTCCCACCCAGAGAGTGACACTTCATCCTTTATCAGCGGTTTTGTTCTCAGCCCAGTGCTATCCTGTTTCATCTTCTCCTCTCTGTCCTGAAGCCCCGCTGTGGTGGCCGCTGTCCGTGGTGCTGGAGTGGTGTGTGGTGTGCTGCATGGTGGTGGCATCTGGGTCTCTTGACATGTGTGACTCATGTTCCAGTGCTGTTTTAACACTGTGTCTCTGTAACTGTTTGCACTGCTAGCTGCTACATGGAAGCAATCATGCTGTTCTCACCGCAGTCAACCCTTGATGATTTAGATGGACCAGAATCTGTGCCTAAAACGAGTGAGTGCACTCGGCCTGGGCTCTATAAAATGCTCAGCATGGATGTGTCCTCCTCGTCAGCTGAGAGCACCAGCTTAGCCTCCAGGTGCTCACCCGTGCATGCTTTGTCCATTACCATGTCAACCCCTTCCCATGTCATTGCACAGATGAGTTATTGTGACCTGTGTGTTTTCATTCACTTTTGCCTGAAGAAGATGCATGACTAATGAAAGCATAACCAGCATCCTTCGTGGGACACAACTGGTCATTCCCAAGACAGTCTTCTATTCAACTAACCACTTTTTTGCTTTTTGTCTGTTAGGAGTTTCTTAAAAATCCTACTATAAAAATTGTGCTCCATTTTTAAAGTATTTCACACTTTCTATTTCCAAAGGAGCAAACATGTTTGCTCCTTGGTTGAAGGCGCCAGTAGGCAGTGGTCACGGGGAGAAATGGGTCAGGAAGCATTGGAAACTTTCTCATAATTTTGTCCAAAGATACACACAGTAGGGGATAATCCCAAATCCTGTATGTAGTCACATTTGGTCAGTACAGAATGAAGCTGTCCATATGCTATGTGCCCAACTGACATGAAAGTTAGAATATTTTCAACCATTGTTTTTAAAATAATATTATTATGAAGTAGAATATATTACCTTGAGAGACCTTAACTTGTTTGGTTTGGGAAAGATTACTCTGGGTTTATGATTTCTCATTAAATCCCAGGATAAAAACTATAACCATGCATAGAAATGAAATCACTTGCTTAAAATCCAAAAGCTTTTCTTTGAAAAGTCAACAGGAGAAGAGAAATACAAGCTGTATTGTGCTTATCTTGACATCAACCACCCACCCAAATAACCCAATCTGAAACTAAGGGCAGTGTTGGCAAGTCAGCCAGTGTTAGGTCTTTCTCACCAGCTGTTATGTACATATGTGCATTCAGAGCTGCAGGAGGCTGGTGCTGGGTATTTTGGGGGAATGCCATCACCATTTAAGATGTCCTCTGGTGGGCACATGCTATGCCATTCCAATCTGTTGATTCCTAAATGTACCAGGATTTACCTGAATCCCTTTGGGGCCAGACCTCATCAAAAACCATAGAGAGTTTTTTTAAGAAATCTTAAAGAAATTATTATAATAGCCAGGACATGGAAGCAACCTAGATGCCCATCAGCAAATGAATGGATAAGGAAGCTGTGGTACATATACACCATGGAATATTACTCAGCCATTAAAAAGAATTCATTTGAATCAGTTCTAATGAGATGGATGAAACTGGATCCCATTATACAGAGTGAAGTAAGCCAGAAAGATAAACACCAATACAGTATACTAATGCATATATATGGAATTTAAAAAGATGGTAACAATAACCCTATATGTAAAACAGAAAAAGAGACACAGATGTACAGAACAGACTTTTGGATTCTGTGGAGAAGGTGAGGGTGGGATGTTCTGAGAGAACAACATCGAAACATGTATATTATCAAGGGTGAAACAGATTGCCCAGGTTGGATGCATGAGACAAGTGCTCGGGGCTAGTGCACTGGGAAGACCCAGAGGGATGGGGTGGGGAGGGAGGTGGGAGGGGGGATGGGGATAGGGAATACATGTAAATCCATGGCTGATTCATGTCAATGTATGGCAAAAACCACTACAATATTGTAAAGTAATTAGCCCCCAACTAGTAAATATCAATGGAAAAAAAAATGGGGGGGGGGACATAGAGAGCATGCCTGTGATAAGTTATGGTCCCTCTGGAAGTTAGAACCTGGTGTGGGACTGGCTCCAGTGGTCTGAAAACTGAGTGACTATTCAGTTCCTTGGCCATATTTAATCAAGGTAAGTCTTAGCCAACAAGCATTATCTTGGTATTCCGAGAGCCTAATGTGCTGTGCACATCTAGGGCCAAAGCCTTGGGGTCACTGAACACCCCTGAATTAGGATCAAGAGCTCATGCAAGTCTGGCTCTTCAGTTTCAGGGCTCAGCCAGATGCATTCATTCATTCACATGTGTGCATCAGTGTCTATGACAAGAGGAATGGATGCAGTCTGCACCTTTGAGCATCTCAGTGATATGACCCCAGCTGCTCACACATACTATTCAGGGAGCAGCACCTTCTTAGATGATCACTTCTCAGCCTAACAGATGATCACTGCACACCCCATACACTTGGCATCTCTAAGTGACATTTCCCCCTCTTTTCAGGCCCAGGTGTGTTGAGGTACTCAGCACAGCTGGCAGGCCTTGATCTCACAACTGTGGCTGCTACACTTTCATTTCCAGTGTTTCTTGCACGAACCTGTCAGGAAGAGTTAGGAGGAGAGAAGTGATGCAAAAGGGAAGACAGGACACAGAAGTAGAGTGAAGACCAGGGCAGAAGGGCTTTCTGGCAGGATGTTCCAAGACAATGAGCTGGAGGAGTCAGAGAAGTTCTACGTGGGTCAGCCACGCTTCCTGCTGCTCTTATACGCACTGTACAACACGCTGGTTGCCCGCTCCGAGATGGTGTGCTACTTTGTCATCATCCTCGGCCACATGGTCTCCACCTCCATGATCAGCCTCATGCTGCCCATCCTCTTCGTCCTCTGGGCCATGCTGTCCATTCCCCGGCCCAGCAGGTGCTTCTGGATGATGACCATCATCTACATGGAGCTAGGCTTCCCTCCGGTGGACCTGCCTGACCCCTGCTTCACATAAATAAATACTTAGAAGGATCGTCTTAGGTGAGCACATGATTATAAGCAGCAGTTGTTGGCACTGAGAACTCTAGTTGTCTTTTCACATCTCACACCTCACACAACATAGGAGCTAATATCACTCTATACAACAGGAATAAGGAACAGCCTTTATGAGATTAAATAATTGGCCCAAAGTGGGCTTCCATGGTGGCTCAGATGGTAAAGAATCTGCCTGCAGTGCACGAGACACAGGTTTGATCCCTGGCTCGGGAAGATCGCCTGGAGAAGAAAATGGCTACCCACTCCAATATTCTTGCCTGGAGAATCCCATGGACAGAGGAGAGTGGAGGACCACAGTCCATGGGGTTGCAAAGAGACAGACACAACTGAGTGACTAACACTTTCACTTTCACTTTAGCCAGCCGGGGATTGGTGGGGGAGGCTTTTTGAGGTCTGGTGTCTGCCCTGTGATATTGACCAGCAAGACAGTAAGTGTGAGGCAGACACAAGCACAGTTCCAGGGCCAGTGCATGGTCAGCGAGTGGACATTGGATCAAACAATACAGTTAGCACTTGAAACAGAGTTGGATGCAATTAACCCTGATGATGTAGACATTGGAGGACTGTTTCAATGTCGATCTCTACAAACATCTGTGTTTACACCCTGAGCTGGTAGGGTTTTGTTTCATTTGCTTTTATTTCTTCTTGAGGAGAACTTCCAGTGAGCAATAAAATGCTGACAAGAAAGAAAGCGGAATAAAGTTAAAATTGTCTATAGAGCCTGTGCAGTTTGCTCCTAAAAACTACGAGCTAAAGCCATGCTTGCAGAATAAAGATCCTCCTGTTCACATTGGTCCTAATCACCTCATTTAATACCTGAATATTTGTATAAGCATCTAATTGAATCAGCACAAACTAGCCCTTGCATACATGCTAAGTCACTTCAGTCATGTCTGACTCTTTGCAACCTCATGGACTGTAACCCTTCAGGCTCCTCCGTCCATGGAATTCTCCAGGCAAGAATACTGAAGTGGGTTGCCAATCCCTTCTCCAGGGGACCTTCCCAACCCAGGGATCAAACCCACATCTCTTATACCTCCCGCATTTGCAGGTGGGTTCTTTACCACTGGTGTCACCTGGAAAGCCCAGAAACTAGCCTACTCCCTGACAATAGAAGTCATTTGAGCCAAGTCAAGAGTAACCTCCATGGCCCCAATGTGTCTGCACTCACAGGACCTGGAGACGTGGTTCTGGCCTTGTCTTGAAATTGATATCTGGAGAAGGAGAATTTGTTATTCCACATGCTGTGTGCATTCCCAGCACCAAAACTGAGACTTTTTCCCTTAATATTTGTATCACTCTTCCTCATCTAGAACTATTCTTAAAGGGAGTCATTTCTTCTAATTTCTTGCATCTGTGCGGGTGGCCATTGTGGTCAAGTACTTCTTCCCATTTGGGCTCTTCCCCTGGAACAAGAATGTGGAACTGAACAAGGACAAGCCTTACCACTCACTCAACATCATTAGGGTGGAGACGAAGGATGCCTACATGCTCTATGATCTAACTCAGCTTCTGGCACCTTCTTCCACTGCTCCATCCTGAAGGTATTGCCCGCCATTACCCCTGGATATTCCTGAGAACCCTGAGCTGGGATCACGGGGGCCTGGGAGGCCACAGGCAGGGTCTATCTGTGTGCTCTTGTTTTCTTTGTTAACAGTTTTGTTCATGCCATTCGTTTTCTTAACACTGTGTACTCAATAATTGAGCTTGTGATCAATCGGGGGAGATTTCCCCCTATTTCTACTCTGGGGTGCATGCTTGCATGCTAAGTTGCTTTAGTCATGTCTGACTCTTTTGCAACCCTATGGCCTATAACCCGCAAGGCTCCTCTGTCCATGGGATTCTCCAGGCAAGAATACTGGAGTGGGTTGCCATGCCCTCCTCCAGCAATCTTCTTGACCCAAGGATCGAACCCACAACTCTTATGTCTCCTGTATTGGCAGACAGGTTCCTTACCACTAGCACCACCTGCGAAGCACACCCTGGGATGAAGGCACCCTAATGATTCCACGTTGGTGGGGATTCCACCAAAGGTGTGTGGTTCTTACTGCTGTATTCACCAAGTCGTGCCTGAGTTGCAGACAGATCACTGGGGAGCTAGAATTTGGGATCTCCTCTCCAGTTTGACCTTGGCCCACCCCCCTTTAGGAGCATTGCTTTTCTCATGGATTTTTGCTCTGAAACCACTGGTTTAGTGAGAGACTGTCCAATCCATGGGCCTGGGGATGCCAGGCTGCACTCCCAGAGAGGCCACCTCTGAGAAAGCCATGCCTGCATTGCTCTGGGAAGACATGTCTGCAGGGTAATCTTTTTGGGATCTGTACCTCCTGTCATCCTGCTGAGCACCTGCAGGGGTCTGATCTCAGACACTGTGAAACATAAGCTGAACTTGTGATATGCCACTCAACTCTACATGTTAGAGATTGTCACACAGCATGCTTTGGATGTAGTGATGTGCCTACGGTCAGAATCTCACTTTCTTTCTCTTGTTTTAACTGTGTCTCCTTGTACTGATAAAGCATATCTTACATTCATTTTATCAAGTAGTATCTTTATTAGTTCCTTTTCAGAGCAAGCTTGGCCTAAGTTAAGGCACACACATGCCACATCCAGCACAGTGGTTGAGAAAGACCTGAAACGGGGGTGAGCACATAATGAAAAGACAGACACATATATTTTGGCAAGTGGGGAGTCAGAGGCCCCTCTTGCTCTCCATGACAGGAAGACAAAATGGTTCCTTTCAGCCCACAGTTTTATTGGCAGAAGTCACATGAGTTCATTAGAGATTAGCTACCCTGGGGAGTTTGATTAGCGAAGGCTCTGCCGTTGATCAGGAATATCTTGTTTTGTTTCTATGGGGATGGACACAGGGGTACACAGTGAAGTGGACCAGAGAGCATGTCCCTCCCCAAGAATGTCTATTTGGCATGCTTACTGGGACAATCATGAGGACGCAGTTTGCCGCACCCTCGAGTCATGGGGCGGGTTCTGGTCTCTGTTCCGCCAGGCTGCAACACACACATACATGCACACACACATACATGTAAATGTGTTTTCAAACTCTATCTTACTTGGTGGGCTGTTTCACACTGGCTTTTGTCTATGTGGACCATAACCAAGACCTTCACTTTGCCTTCTGCTACCTTGCAAACTGCCAGTTCCTAACCCTCCATTTGAGGGGGTCTTTCCTGAGTCTTTGGGGTGTGATGAGTTTGCAATGCTACATATAGGTAGATAATAAGCTTTCTTAGGATCCCTGACCTTGCTTTGGTTTTCTAATCTTTCTTTTCCCCTAATTTCAGCTTTGTTGATGTATTGTTGCTTAGTTGCTAAGTCATGTCCAACTCATTGTGACCCCATGAACTACAGCATACTAAGCTCCCCTGTCTTTCACTATCTCCTGGGGTTTGCTTAGATTCATGTCCATTGAGTCAAAGATGTCATCAAAATATCTCATCTGTCACCTTCTTCTTCTCTTGCCCTCAATCTTTCCCAGCATCAGGATATTTTCTAATGAGTCAGCTGTTCCCATCAGGTGGACAAAGTGTTTGAGTTACAGCTTCAGCATCAATCCTTCTGATGAATATTCAGAGTTTATTTCCTTTAGGATTGACTGGTTTGATCTCCTTGCTGTCCAAGAAAACCTCGAGTCTTTTCCAGCAAAACAGTTTGAAAATGTCAATTCTTTGATACTCAGCCTTCTTAATCGTCCAACTCTCACATCTGCACATCACTACTGGAAAAACCATAGCTTTAACTAAAGGATACTTTGTTAATTTGTAATTGGCCAGTGAAATTGTAAGCTGTCAGAAGTGTACACATGGTGATTTGATAAGCGTATATATGGTGAAAGGACCCCCGTCAGGTTAGTCAACACATCCACTACTTTCTCACCTGCCTATTGGTCGGTGTTTGGTGGGAACACTTAAGTTGTGCTCTCCTGGCAGTCTCCACCGTCTTTCAGGGTCATCGGCTGCAGTCGCCCTGTTTGACGTGGTTTCCTATCCTGAGGGACACATCCTGGTGGCTAGGGTGTCACAGGACCATGTCCCAGCCTCTGGCTGGACAGCTGGCTGAGCTGTCCCGTCCCTGCCTCCTCAGTGTCATGGCCTCTGGGACGAAGATGACATCACGGACAGTTACTCAGAAAAGCTGGAGTTGGATGATGAGCTGTCCCTTGGCCACAGCAGGAGGGCCTCCTCCGACTTGCTCGAGTCCATCAACCCGGCTCATCCATGGAGTCAGTGCATGTGACCTTCCCCAAGCATCTGGCCGCTGTCCAGAGGAAGCGCTCCAGCAGCAGCTCCCAGACATCACAGGGGTCCAGCTTTTCCTCAAATAGGTCTGAGAGAGGTATTGTCACGTGGTGTCACTGCAAGAATTCCTGAGTGGAGTCATCCCCTGGTGCCAGAGGGTCAGCAGTAAGAGAGCTGGGTGCTGTTGAGGTGGAAGATACTATGATGTGAAATGAATGTACTTTGTAACCAGACAGAATAAGTTCAAATCCTGGCTGAGCTGTGGGTGCTCACACCCCTGTCTAAGGTGTCTGTCTGAATTCCTCAACCCCCACATAGGACAAGTATTTCAGGTTTTGGTGAAAGTAGCCAGCACACTGCCTCATACCTAGTGAGTGTCAGACACAGTGTAGTTGTCAATCATACCCAGAGATTCTGCTGGTGTGCCCAGAGTGATGTACATCATGATTTATTTTGAAAGTACACTTAGATTTAATCAATAGGAACTTTAAGCCAAACCACCTGGTTATCTCCTATGCTAGTTACTAATTTCTTACTAAACAGCCAGAGACAGGAAAGTACACGTGTGTTACGGTCGCCCCTCTTGGGGTAACTGCACTTTCGTGTTGACAGCGCTCCAGTCTGAAGCTCTCCAGACCCTCTGTATTCATCTGAAGAAGATATTTTTCTACCACTGGCAGGCTATCTCATATTGGTTTTATAGCTATAGAAATTTGGCCCTGAAAAAAGGCATGGTCCTGGACCCAGACTAGAAAACCCACAACCAAAACCTGGGATCCCATCGAGCAGGAAAAAATCTGCTCCCCAGTCTAATTCTTCCTGGGACAGAAGTCCCACAGACACCCAGGAAGGAGCCAGTAGTGGATATGAAAACCCATGGATGCCTTTGGCTACAGAAGCAGAGTGGGGGCTGCAGACCCCAAGTTCTCCATCACTGTTCTTACAGGCATCAGAGCATCTCACCCTCTAACCAGCCTCCAATTGTCCCTCTGCCATGGGGGTGGCAGGCTTCTACGATAATTACAGCAACAAATTCACAACTCACAATGCATCTCGGTTCCTTCTTGCCTCCAAGCAGCACAAGCAACAGGAACAGCAGCCAGAAAGGAAGCAGCATTGGGAGCATCAAGCAGAAGAGCAGATGGAAACTTTACATGGAGAAGCTGCAGGAACACTTGATCAAAACAAAAGCATATATCATAAAGAAGTGAGACTTTACTTATCATTGCCAAAACATAGGAGGGGGAGGCGGTGGTGGAGGAGGAGGTGGGATGAGGAGGAAGAGGCGGAGGTGGAGGGGGAGGAAGAGGAGGTGGAGGAGGAGGAGGAGGTGGAGGAGGTGGAGTAGGTGGAGGAGGTGGAGTAGGAGGAGGAGGTGGAGGCGGAGGGGGAGGTGGAGGAGGTGGAGGAGGAGGAGGAGGTGGAGGAGGTGGAGTTGTAGGACCCCTGAAGAAGTGGCTGCTGCTGCAATGCCCAGTCTTCCCCAGAGCCCTCTGGGTGTCTGCCCCTCTCCCACTGCCATAGCTGCCACTCTGGGGAGTCCATCTGAAGACCATGGCCTCAGCAGGCCAGATGAAGTGCCAAGCACCTAATGTGACCAGGAAGATGCCAGATCCTGGCTCTGAGATGCACTTCGGGTGAAGAAGAATGAGCTGGTGCAATTCCTGCTCAGCAGGTATCTTGCCAAGGAGCCAATCACAGAGGCAGAAGTGCTGAATAGTGCCTTCAAAGATTACCAGGACCATTTTCTGGTGGTCCTCGGTCAAGCCTCACAGTACCTGCAGCTTGTCTTTGGCTTGGAGGTGAAGGAGGTGGACCCCAGTGAGCATACCTATATTCTGGTCCCCTCGCTGGGCCTCACCCTCAAGGAGATGCTGAGGGATGGGCATAGGTTGCCCAAGGCTAGCCTCCTGGTGGTGATCCTGTGCCTGATTGCTGTGGAGGATGTCGTGTCCCTGAGGAGGAGATCTGGGCAGCAATCAGCAAGATGGGGGTGTGTCCTGGTAGGGACACTTCATCTATGGGGAGCCCAGGGAGCTGCTGACCCAAGTGTGGGTGCAGGAGGGGTATCTGGTGTATCAGCTTGTGCCTGACAGTGACCCTGCTCGCTACGAGTTCCTGTGGGGTCCCCAGGCCTATGCAGAGACCAGCAGGTTTAAAGTCCTGGAATATTTGGACAGAGTCAGTTGAAAGGGTCCTAGCTCCTTCCACCCCATCTGCAGAGGCTGCAAGGGAGGAGGGGAGAGGACTCTGAGCCAGAGCAGCAGCCAGGCTCCTTCCAGGCCCACGTCCAACAGCTTTTCTTGGGGACAGGAAAGGAGGCTGATCCTTCTCTCTGTGATTGAAGAAGGAACAGTCAGCCTTCTCAGCAGTGAGGGTCCAGGCCCATTGGGGGAACCCGGTGTGTGGCATCTTTGTGTTCCTGTTCTCTACAATGACATGGAGACTCATCTCTGTTTTCTTTAGGAATTTTTCAAATGTTATTCCTTTTTATAGAAGACAGTGCATTCCAGTATCTAACTATGTCAATGATGTTGATCACACTGTGTTTGTATTCAATCAGTTCAAGATGAAGAGTTTTCCTGTTCTGTAAAAGAGATTAAGAACACTTTCATTTTATTCCATGGTCCTGCACAAGATGACATGAATTAGAATGATTTTGGAAATGTGAATTTATTTAGCAGTGATATAGTTGGTGGAAAATTAGAAAATAAAAAGTGATAGTAGTAAATTATTGCTTCTTAAACTTTGTGTGTATCATTTTGTACAGCTAAGTGATCTCAGTTTATATGGATTTTCCTGGGTTATCAAAGGAAGTAGCAGTTAATCTGAGTAAAGCAGCCCCCTCCTCACTGGCTCATTTATTGCAAAGACCTTTATGGAGCCTCTGCTCTGTGAAAGGCCCTGTGTTAGCAGTGGGGACACTGGGAGAAGCAGGACACACCCACACCTAGAGTGATGGTCTAGGAGCCACAGTCATATGAGGTGCATCGTGGGAATGAGGGGAAATGGGACATTGCTGTAAGGTGTCCTTTTGGGTCTTGGATAAACCCCAGAGAGATCTCTTTCTGGGGCAGCATGGAAGGGGTCCTGGCTCTGGCACTTTACTGCTGACCACAAGGATGGCATAGGGGTTTTCTACCCAGTATCTGCTAGGAATCCTGAAGAACTCCCATCACACTCGCTTGAAGTGATGCCCAGAAATCCATGGACTGACCCACTCTTTCCTGGCCCTGGGGATCCAGAGCTCAAGGTGTTAACTAGCTTTTAATTATCTTCATTGTAATTGGGCACTGTAATCAAAGACTCAACATTTATTGGTGCTGCAATGACGAAAAGTAAGGGTTGTGATGGAAGACCAGCTGGGACACATGCAAAGAGTGGTTCTTGCTTTTATTTCCTGGAGCGGCTTGGGTCCTGCTGGAACACTCCTCCACACCCAAATTTCACAGGTCCTCTAACTGGAAATGGGCCTTTCTGGGTAGCCCATACAATGAAGAATCTGCTTGCATTGTGAGAGAACTGGGTTCAATCCCTGGGTCAGGAAGATCCCCCTAGAGAAGGGCGTGGCAATCCACTCCACTATTCTTGCCTGGAGAATTCCATGGCCAGAGGAGCCTGGCAAGCTACAGTCAATGGAATTGCAGAATCAGACATGACTGAGTGACTAACACTATGGTCCACTATGGTCTAAGTGGAAGTTTCTTAGTTTCATTTATGAAACATTCTGTTTGGCTAATTAGGAATTCTACATCCTATTGAGGTGCATATTCTCTAACCCACCCTGGACCACAAAGTAGCCAACCCCGTCCAGTGGAGAGTGGAGGAGTGTCTGGGGGAAACAGTGTGAGAAATTCCTGTCCCGCCTTCACAGGGCCAACAGTCACCAGGCCCTGCGAGCTCTGTCTCATCACTCACACACATCCTGTAGCCCAGCACACAGGGCTCCTCACACTCGCTCGCATCCCAGATGGAGACCTGAGTCCACGGGGCTTGGGCATCTTCCCAAGACCACGTGTGTGCTAGTAAGGGCCAGGGTGGGCTCAGAGCTCTGGTCTCAATTTCTCTGGAGCCCCCGCCCTTCCCACCCACCCCAGGCCACGGCCTGACCTTCCAACTTCTCAAGCCTTCCTCTTCTCAGTGCTGCACAATGCCTCTGAGGTGACAAAAAGCAGGCCCACAGAAGGAAGGGGACAAGGAGAATCAGAAGCACCATGGGGCTGCTCTGTGGCTTGCTGAGAACTGACTCTGCCGGGGGCCGGCATCCTTGTCCAGTCCAAATACCTCCTGCGTGAGGGCAGCACCCTGTCCCTGCTGCTGCCATGGGGCCTCCTGCCCAATGGAACCTGCCAGGCTGACCAGCTTCTCACCGAGCAGGAGGGAGGGAGAGCCTGACTGTATGGTTCCAGTGCCCACTGGGATAAGGCCCTACAGGAGTCTCCTCTGATACAGAAGGGAAGGGAACACAGGTGGACCCCCAAGGCTCCAGGTCTCTGCACCTGCAGCAAGGGAGGGGAGCAGGTGGAGGGCCTTTGGTCTGGGGACATCGGCGTGCAGACGCCAAGCACAGGGGCAGGAGAGTGAGGGTGAGAAAAGCAGGTCTTGGACGTCATGAGAGCTTGTGTGTGCACAACACAAGTGTCCCAAGCCACGGCTGACAAAGACCCCCTTGGTGACACACAAACCCACTGCCAGGGCCCGGGTGCTTCCTGAAGGACGGGGACCAGAAAACACAGCTCCCTCAGGGCCCATGGCATGAGGAGGGGCCCCAAGCATGAAAGGGAGCAAGAAAGACCACCTAGCCAGGCTGCCCACAGATGCCATGACCTTCCGTCCCCTTCCGAGGAGCCACCAGGGGCCCCTACCGATGTTTACAGCCTCCAGAGTCATGTCCCAGTCAGATGAACCGACCAGATGCAAAGATTTGTCAACCTGCTTAGAAGCAGAAAGGCCACAGAGAAGCCCAAGTGGAAACCTGGAGCTCATCCAGGCTGCCAGTCCTTAGGAAGAAAGGCCCTTGGGAGAGCTTCTTCCACACCCTCTTAGATCTCCCCTTTCAGACACCAGGCCGTGACCCTCACACAAGGCAAATGACCTTGCTACTGGCAGAGGTGGGAGACAGTGCCCTGGGGTCCTCTAATACGGGCCTTTCCAAGGTGCCAGTCTGTACCCTACACAGTGATTTTCAAGAACAGTGGCCCACACCCAGCTTCTCATCCTTTTTCAAATACAGGTAGATGGGAGCTTCCTTTGGTCACATATAGCTGAACAAGTCAGACATGTCCCTGGGAGTGAGTGTGTGTAAAGCAGGGCCCTTGAAAAACACCTAACCCGTGAGCCAGCAAAATCATTCGATAGACCTGCCATCTGGGTAACTGAGAACAGGTCCACAGTGGTGGTGGGAGCAGGGGCAGGGGCAGGGAAGATCAGAGCTGGCCTCGAAGAGGACCAGTGAAGTGCTTGTTTTCGACAGAACAGGCTGTACCTTGAGCCCCCAATCAAGTACTTCAAAGGTTAGTTATCCAAATAGACTCAAGCTGGACATGGGCAGCCAGGACTGCAGGTAGCAGAAGCCCAAGCACCCCACTGACAAAAGGAAACAGGGCTTTCAAAGCAGCCTCCAAGGAGTCCGAATCCGAGGCTCTGGGGAGGAGAAAAGCACACGCAGGTGTTCCCAAAGTGAACACTCAAGGGCCACCAGAGTGGTGTTTATGGAAAAATTGGAAACTGAAGACACCAGCCTGTGATCTGCAGTGGGATGATACCTGGGGGTGGGCAGAATGCGGGAGGCTGTAAGCTCAGCAGAGCACCTGGCTTTGCCCTCCCACACGACATCCTGGGGAATCTATGTCTCAGGTGCTTGGGAACAGTCAAGTGGAATATGAGGTCGCTCCACTGTGCTCGACCACAGCCCTCCTGTGGGGAGAGCTCGACCTGGGGGGCTGTGGGGGCAGGACAACAGGAATCTGACTTTGGGGCCAACTGAGTGGGACCAACCAGCCAGCAGCGCCAGCCAGAAGACAACAAAGCCAGAAGGGGAAAAGGATGGGAGGGAGGCACCAACTCAGGCAAAGCCAGTCAGCCCACTATGGACCCCATCTTCTGGGAGGGACAGTCACCAGGGACCCATCTGACCCCTGGGATCTCTCTTGGTGGTAGCAGACCTAGGACTTGCCAGGGCCTAGCCCTTCAGCAGAAGCCAGCCACAAGCCTGCATTTTGCTAGTGAGGGGAGTGGAGCCAGAGGAACATTTGACAACTCATCCAGGGCCTGGCTCCCTGAAACAAGGGAACTGGCAGCAGATGGGAGCCTTTGTAGGCAACCTGAAACCTATGCTTCTGTGCTTTCAGACAAGAGACAAGCTGGGGATCCCATATCTGTCCCCAGACTGCCTCCCCTACACTGGGCCAAGGCTGCCTCTCATCACCTCTGTAACATCATGAAACAATTCAGGAAGCTGACCACTTAATTGGCTGCCTGTCCCATGACCCAGATTCCAGACTCTCCAGAGAGCATTTTTGGGGCACCCCAACCCTGGTCTGAGGCCCTTCTGCCCTGAGCATTCAATGCTTGGGTAGAGAATGCTCCTGAGCTAGACTGATTCCATGGCTAGTCAGAGTTCTCAGGAGGCATGGGCAACCCTGCTGGCCCCATCAACTGATAGGGTGCCCACAGCAGGTGACCCCCATGATTACTCCCTGGATCCAAACATGGATTCAAGGGAGGCTTTGGAGAAGCAGGGTGACCAACCCGAGAGCCCAAATCCGGGCTCCCAAGTATACCTGACCCCACAGGGCCCCAACCCAGAAATGGTCAACAAGGAAGATAACAACACCGTCCTTGGGCTGTCCTTCCCCAGGAAGCTCTGGATGATCATGGAGGATGTGGCCTTCACCTTTGTGCACTGGAACGACAAGGGAGACACTGTGGTCACTGAGGCAAATCTCTTCCAGATGGCGGTCCTCCAGTTCAGGGGCGCAGACCAGATCTACAAGACAGACAGCATCAAGAGCTTCATTCGTGAAATGAACCTGTATGGGTTCAGTAAAATCTGCCCTTCGAGATGCTCTGCAGGGAAGAAGAAGCTGATGGTAAGGTAGAAAGCCCTCCTGGGGAGACTAGACTAGATGAGCTGAGTGCTGGACAGGTTTCATTTCCCAGGAGAACACTGTTATCACGAGAGGGTAGTTAAGGAAAGAGGAGGAAGCAGGGTCTGTCGTGTTCCACCACCCCCCTTAGACAGGAACCACAGGGGTGACTCCAGACCCTGCAGGGCCACTTGATGCCAGGGACCACCAGTAACACCTTAAGTGAGGCTGGCCCCAGGGGAGCTCTTGGGAGAAGCATGCTAGGGCCTCATAACCTGCCAGGAATGAAGAGACCTTGTCTCCATACTTAGGCATGGCCAGGATGGTGGTAGGGAGGGGGGCAGTGAGGAAGCCTCTTCTCACCCTTGCTGTCTAAAGTGATTCATTTCCTTTCAGATCTATCACAACTTCAACTTTCAGAGAGACAAGCCTCCCCTCCTGCAGAACATCCGGAGGAAAGGCGACCCCAGAACAACTACTCAGCCCACCACCGGCGCAACAACCACCCCAAAGAGAAAGAAGCGAGTGGTGGAGACCAGATGCTCTCCTCAATTCCATCATGAGTTCACCCAAAAGACGGACAAGAACGCCCAGAATGGAACCCCAGAAACCCCCAGCCTGCACTTATTTCTCTTCTCTGGCCTTTGATCTATGTGCCATCTAGCCAGGTGGGCCGGGGGAAGCCATCTCCCCAGTGAGCAGGGTGGCCCCAGTGGTGAAGGCATGTCTAGCAATGCCACGTCTGTACCCCTGGCTACTGCTGGAAGGGAGGGAGCAGGGGAACTGACTGACAGCCCCCCAGAGTACCCCAATTACAATTTGGTGATGGCTGTGTACAAGACCTTTTACTCCACCATGATGGCAGCCCTTTCAGTCATGGCCCCAGATGAGGCCTCTGAGGCGGAGGAGTAGCAGGGAGAGTCCTCAGATTACAAGGGTGCCCTCCATGAGCAACTCAAGCACAGACAAAATTCCTGAGCTTCCAGATCCCTAGGGACACTCAAAATCACTCTTCTGTAATAAAAAAAAAAAATCAATTTATGTTCTAATAAACTAAAGCGAAACTCTGTGGGAGTAAAGTATCAAACGAGAACTGCGAGTCTGTGTTCTTTATATTTGTCCATGTGATTCACACCTCACAGGATGAGCCCAATGAGGCTGGAAGCCCATGCCTCAGGCAGGCTTTGGTCTGGTCCCCATGGTCCCTTTTTTCTGAAGCAGCAACATTTCACACGCTCGGCCAAGAGTGTGGTTGCCGAGTTGAGTGCAGAGGCCAGCACAGGATGGGCTTGTTCTTGGACCTTGGTTCCTGACAGTGGGGGTGTCACCTTCCATGAGTCATGCACCCTGAAGCGCAAGATGCTCCTCAAGGATCCCCCATGATACCACAAGTTTCCGATCAGCAGCTGAGCGTCTCCAGCTCTCTATCCATGGCCCTTCCCAAGATGCTCAGCAGAAAATAGGGTCACTCACCCCACCCACCAAGAGCCTTGCAAACACATGACCCCAAACCCAAAGATAAGTACAAGGTTCCCACAAGGTGAACACCAGCCCTTTTTGCTCTGCCCTCACAGCTGTATTGACGAGCCAGTGTTTGGACGTGATGTGTACAGGCAGCGTGTCCAATATGCAGGCCTTGTCTTGGCTCACAAGACAGTTTACAGCAGGGCAAGTGTCACCTGCAAGGACACACCACAGCCTGTTTCTGGGCCTGCGGGCCTCTCTACCAGCCCAAGGCCTCACTGTCTGCTTACGCTCAGCCCCGCCCCCAGCCTTCCCCCATTACTCCCTGGGCACTGTTCCAACATCAGGGAGTTTGGACCAGAACAGAGAGGGGAAAACACTAACCGGTTTCCTAACAACACATTTCTCTCAACCACCCAGACCCAGCAGAGCCAAAGTGATTGGCAACGCTAGCATTCCATAAAGGTCAAAGGCCCAGAAACTCTCACTGAGTCCAGAGCAGCACCGCATGAGGGGGATTCCCTGCCCTGGGCCCCACACCAAGTGGGCACCACAGGGCGGGACTCATTCAAACAGAACCAGATGCGCATGTCCAGGGTGGGGTGGTAACTGAGGGTGTCCCCACGTGCTGATCTCAGTCACCTCGCTTTTGAGAGCCCAGTGTGGACAGGACTCCTGCCCAAAGGGGTTCAGGTGCTAGGGGATGTCCACCTGGAAGACGTTCCTCCCACCCCTCCCTGGCAAGGCCTGCAACAGCCAGCGGGGTTTGGCGAGCACTGACAGAAGCACAGGTACTTCTGTCGCAGGTCGGGTAGCAGGGCTTGAATCTCCGGCTCTTCCACCTCATCGGGACCTAGGTTTTCTGGGCATAGCAAAGTGTCCCCAGTGTCCGCAAGACCTGTGTGCAAAGGCAGGAGACAGAAAGAGAACAAGGTCATTCAAAGCCATGCCTCCTAGAGACGAAGACCATATCATGGAGGGGACGCGAGGTGAACTGGGTCCTCTGGCTGAGCAATTCAGACTGGCTCACCTTGGCAAAGGGAATTCAGGGCAAGGCCAAGCGAGGAAGGGAGCAAAATGAAACGGAGAGGCCTGGTGCTCCAGGAACAAACCAGGCCATGGGGAGCTCTCAGTCTGCGCACTGAAGGCTGCAGGGACAGAGCAGGAGGGCCCCAGTGGGGAGCCTGTGGACATCAAGTCCCCAAACGTTTTGCCAGTGGACAGGTGTTGATGTGGGGCCTCACCGCTGGGGAGTCAGGGGACTTGCTCAGACCTGGCCGCAGGGAGTGGGGGTGGAACTGCCTGGGTTCCCAGGCTGGGTGTTGTGCTGCCTCTCATGGTCTCTGCTGGGCACACACACACGTGGGGACACACACACACACACACACACGCACACACACACACACACACAGAGGCAAGTGCCATGTGCAGACCTGGATGTGCCCCTGCCTCAGAGCACAAATGGGGACTGAGGCCCAGAGTGGTGGTCAGGGACCCCAGCCACTGTCTCCCAGCCCAGGCACCCTCTCTGTCCCTCTGAAGAACCCTCAGTTCCCCCACACACAACCCACCAACTGGTTCAACAGAAAACAAATGATCACAACCTTGCTAAGATCCAAGGCAGCACCGGGGGCCATGCAGACAGTGCAGGGCAGGGCATCACTTGCCCACAATCACTGTGCAGCCAAACTTGTCCCCATCCCACAGCAAGGCCTGGATTGGGGTGGGGCTCATCCCCAGCCTCTTCTTAAGCAGCTCCCGCCAGGCCACGCCCTCCCAGTCCCGGTGCACCATTTGGACGGCCAGGGTACAGTGCCGGGTCTACATAGCATGGGCCACTACTGTATCTCCAGGGTCTTGACACTCTTTAAGACGAAACCTGCAAAAGGCTGTCAGAAGGACAGACAGCTAAACTTCATCTCCCAGGGCTCCCAGGGCTCCCAGGGACTATTTTTGCTGCAGATATACAGAACCACAAAGGTCTGGAGCTTGATACAGCAATCTCCAAGCTCACAGCCCTGGGCTGGACCTCAGCCCTGGGCAGGACCTCAGCCCCATGTACCTGGGCTTCCTCCAAGCCTGCTGACACAAAACGGGGGGTGGTGGTCAGAGAGGGCTGACTCCTTCCATCTGTCTCCACATGGTCTGCTGAGAGGTGGATGGTGACCCAGAGGACACATCCATCACATGGAGACTGTGGGGAGGTCAGGAAGGAGGACAGGACAGCGGGAGAGAGGCACGTGGTGAGTTCCAACACAGAGGGTCCAGAAACACTGGGAGCATTGAAGAGGGAGGGCAAGCCCCTGGCTTCACAGCCCAGAGGCTGGGCTCTTGTCCTCTCCCAGCACAGACAGGCACTGTCCTGGGCTTGGCTTCCCCTACCCAGGCAGCCACCCCACCCCTCGGCTCCCAGCCCCATCCCTGCCCATGCTCTGCAGATCCCCCATCTCAGCCCAGGGCTACTGAGGGCAGTTCCATGCTAACCAATCTGGCCTTGGCCCTGGGGCCGCCCTGGACCTCAGACGGCCCTGCCAGGTGTCTTCACCATGCCTTTGGGAACCACCTTCCTCCAAGCCCTTCACACATCCTGGCTTCCACTGCCAGCTGATGCCACAGCCCTCGCCCAGAACCTTGAGAAAGAACAAAGGAGAGCAGGGACTACTGGGACGGGCACACTCTGTGTCATCACCAGGGCCTGGGACAGCACCACACAGGGGTCACAGAATTCAAACCTCAAATAATCTGCTAGGTTACTATCACCTCATTCCATGGCTGGGGAGATGCTGAGAGATAGAAAGATAGCCCATGACTGCAGGGGGCCTGACCACAGCTCCAATCTCATTTCTTTTCTTTTACCTGGAGAGGGGTCCCTGTTTACTAGAGGGGGTTGGAGTCGGAGAAACAGAGCCACAGGCCTGAACCTCAGCAGGGTCTCAGCACCTCCGAGGGAGCCTCTGTTTCCACATGGCTGTGAGGATGAGGACAAGGTCCCAGAGGAACCCAGTCCAGGGCCTCCCAGGCCTTTCCTTCACCGAACACAGCAGAGCCACAGTTATCACAGGTCCCTGAGGTCACATGAGATCTGGCTCCTACCCTGGTGGCCTGTTCTCCTCACCTCTGGATTCACCACCAGTAGCCATGAAGGTCATCCTTCCATACTTGGAACATTCCAGTGTCTTCCTCCCTCAGAGCCTTTGTAGGGTATGAGGAGACACATTGTGCCCCTCAGAGTCAGGTGCTGGAATCTCAATTGCAAGTACCTCAGCATGACACTACAGACAAAGGAAAGGTTTTCACAGAGCTGATGGAGGTCACCTGAGCTCATTAGATGGACCCTCTTCTTACAGGATGCCTGGCCCCATATGAAGGACACATTTGCAGACAGGCAGGCACACAGGAGAACTCCGGGTGAAGAGGAACGCAGAGCTCTCCAAGCCCAGACGTGCCCACCATGGCCAGCAATGACCTGGAAGTGAGGTGGTAGAGATGGGACAGACTCTCCCCACAGCCCTCATGAAAGCCAAAGTCAGCTGACACCTCGACCTTGGCTCCTAGCCTCCTGAACCAACACGGTTCATAGGTTAAGCCACCCAGCCTGTGTGACCCTGACACAAAAGCCATTCTCCAAAGAAGACCCTTTATCCAAAGAGGACACAGATGGCCAAGAGGCACTTGAAAGATGCCCAACATTCTTATTATTAGACAAATTCAAATCAAAACTCCAATGAAGTATCACCTTATACTGGTCAGAAAGGCCATCATCAATAAAACCTATGAAGAATAAATGCTGGAGAGTGTGCAGAGAAAAGGGAACACTTGTACACTGTTGGTGGAAACATAAATCGGAACAGTCAATATGAAGAACAGTATGGAGGATCATTAAGCAACAACAAACAGAACTACCATATGATCTAGCAATCCCACTCCTGACTATATACTTGGAAAAGACAAAAACTCTAATATGAAAAGATACATGCACCCCAATGTTCACTGCAACACTATTTACAACAGACAAGATATGGAAGCATCCTAAATGTCCATCAACAGATGACTGGATAAAGAAGATGTGGTACACACACACACACACACACACACACACACAGAGGAATACTTCTCAGTCATGAAAAATAACGAAGTAATACCATCTGTGGCAACATGGATGGACCTAGAGACTCTCATATTAA